ACCTATTATTGTGAGTGATTTTGCGTCATGTTCGGCACCAAATTAGGTGTCTGGCTGCTGGTTTCTTACTTTATTAGGGGCAGCAGCAGCAATCAAAATTAGAGATCAAATTGGACAAAATTAGATTTCTATTGGACAAAATTAGATTTCTAGTAGGATTTCAGAAGGGACGTTTCGGCCCCCGAAAACCTATTATTGTGATTGATTTTGCGTCATGTTCAGCAGGAAATTAGGTGGTGTTTTGCTGTTTCGGCTGTGTTTCAAAAAAGGTGTCTGGCTGCTGGTTTCTTGGTTTATTATAGGCAGCAGCAGCAGTCAAAATTAGAGATTGAAATTAGACAAAATTGGATTTCTGTTCGACAAAATTGGATTTCTAGTAGGATTTCAGAAGGAACGTTTCGGCCCCCGAAAACCTATTCTTGTGATTGATTTTGCGTCATGTTCGGTCTGAAATTAGGTGGTGTTTTGCTGTTTCGGCTGTGTTTTAAAAAATGTCTCTGGCTGCTGGTTTCTTGCTTTATTATAGGTAGCAGCAGCAGTCAAAATTTGAGAAAAAAATTGGACACAATTGGATTTCTAGTAATCTAGTAGGATTTCAGAAGGGACGTTTCGGCCCCCGGGAAGCTTGTTATTGCAACTGGCTTCCGGGGAACTTGTGATTGCGACTGCTTTTGCGTCATTTTCGGCACGAAAGTCGGTGGTGTTTTGGTTTCGGCTATGTTTCGCAAATGGTGTTAGGCTGCTAGTTTCTTGCTTTAGACAGCAGCAGGAGTCAGGATTTCTAGTCGGAGTTCAGAAGGGCTGTTTCGGCCTCCGGGGAATTTGTTATTACGACGGATTTTACGTCATTTTTGGCATGAAATTAGGTGGTGTTTTGCTGTTTCGGTTGTGTTTCGAAAAAGGTGTCTGCAGTAGCAGCAGGAGCAAGAGCAGCAGCAGCCAGCAGCCAGCAGCAGCCAGAGCCAGTAAGCAGGCAGCAGGCAGCCAGTTGTCAGCAGCCAGGAGCCATCAGCCAGTAAGCAGGCCAGCAGCAGGCAGCCAGCAGGCAGCGGGTAGTAGCCAGCAGACAGTAGGAGCAGCAGCTTCCTTGCTCAATAACAACAACAGCAAAATAGCAACAACAACAACAACAACCAGCACCTGCACCACCACCACCACCACCACCACTACCAGTAGCAGCAGCAGCGGTATTGGACACAGTGCAGGAACATAACAAACTGCAAGCGGCATTGGACACAGTGCAGGAACATAAACTTGATGGTAGCAGTATCAGCAGCAGCAGCACTAGCAGCAGCAGTCAAAATTTGATTCTATTGGAGTTCTAAGCGGATTTCCGAAGGGACGTTCCAGCCTCCGGGGACTGTTATTGCAACTGCTTTTGCGTCGTTTTCGGCACGAAATTAGGTGGTGCTTTGCTTCATTACCGAACCGCACGAAATTAGGTGGTGTTTTGCCGTTTCAGCTGTGCTTCGAAAAAGGTGTCTGCAGCAGCAGCGGGAGCACGAGCAGCAGCAGCACGAGGAGCAGGAGCACGAACATCCGCAGCAGCAACAACAACATTAACAACAACAACAACAACAACAACAACAACAACAACAACAACAACAACAACAACAACAACAACAACAACAACAACCACAACCACAACGACAACAACAACAACAGCAACAGCAACAGCAACAACAACAACAACAACAAGAAAAACAAGAACAAGAACAACAGGAGAAGAAGAAGAAGAAGGAGGAGGAGGAAGAGAATAATTGTTTAAATCTAAAAACTTACTTTGCGCCGGCACTGGTCCACTGATATGTTTTACAATATCGTCCTGTGTCATTTCTGTGTTTCGATTGGATTCGTCCGTGTGATTTTGTTGATGCCACCTTCGTGTTGCAGGTCGGGCAATAATGGGCATACTGCCTACATACTGCACCATTCTTGACACGAAACTCTCGCCCGCAGTGTCCTTGTGTTTGCACTACCGGGGTCGGCGGCAGGGGCGGCAGCCCTTAAATTAAGTTTCAATATTATCCCATAAAATGGGATAGAAGGTCAGAGTTTAAAGCCCAGTGAACCGTAGATTCTGTTCATTTTTAGTGTTAAGCATCCAATTTTAGGCGTATCCAATTTTGACCCACACTCAGATCTCCATAATTGTCCAACATGTTGGTTGGTGAAGTCATATACCCCCATATTTTGGCCCATGACTTTCAATGGTTTAGATTGTTAGCGGTATCTAATTTATGTTCATTGCCCATCTAGTTTTAGGGGTATCTAGTTTTTATCTCACTCTAACCATACTTAGATCCCCATCCCCACAGTTTGGTTGGAACATAGATCTCATATGACCCATGGATTTTCAGCATCATCTCCCCATCGGCTTTTTTTTTAAATCCCTCCGCTCCGCAACATCAAAGTCTGCCACCACCGGGAAGCGTTCGGAAAGGATTGGCCAAGCCTGTGGAAATCTGTGGAAGTTCGGGATCTAAACAGATTTTTTGGGGCTGCTATCGCCACGAAACTTGGTTAAAGATGGGAAAACATGGAGAAAAATGATGATGAACCATGAGATTTTGCGGTACCATTTTCAGGAAAGAAATGGCTGTTTGGGACCCAAAAATCTGTAGTGACTACATTGTCGGAGGTCCGCAATTGTGGAATTCGCTGACATAGAGTTGTCATTGACTAATCTATTTCATCTACAAGATAAAAGTGCTTCTTCTTCTTTTTCTTCTTCTTCTTCTTCTTCATCCCCATATTATCCCCATGATACTACCAGTTTTCTTGGTTAAATCCTTATTTTTGTTGCTATTGTTGGTTGAATCACCATCACCATATCACCCTTACTACGGGTTCTCGTCCCGAAAAAATCTGGGTGCCCCTGCTGCATGGCTCTCAGGCTTGTGCGCTGCCAAGGTCTGCAACGAGCTGCGACAAATGGGGATATAATGAGGATGATGGCTAGACCATAGTTAAACACTAAATTCAAAGTCATATCCAAGCACTGGCTGGCGACGAAATGACAGGTGAAATGGGATTTCACCACAAAATACATGGGGAAAAGAGTGGTAAGCCGTTTAAAATCATTGAAACAGCCGAGGTGAATCATGTCATGTTTCCTCCCCCAAAGCATGTCATGTTTGGTGGATTTTTTGGGATGATGTTGGAGGATCAGAGTCAGAAAACCTGGGATTTCAGTGCTTTACATCCCAAACAACCACACGCAGTGGGCGTTGATGGCATTCAGCACTTCATGTCGACTCAGATATATAATATATCAGAATATTACATAATTATATATACTCATTTAGGCTTGTCTGAAAATGGTTAATCAGATAATCAGAGATAATCACAAGTTTCCCCACTACAGTGGCCATTGATTGTGGGTAAATCCTCCATTTCCACACCTGTCCTCCTTGCGAATGGATTCACGGTCATCCCCTGTCCTCCGCGGCTAATCCTCGGAGAAAGGTCTGGAAGTCCGAGAGTTTCCGCCGTCGCCCCTGCGAGTCACCACATAGGGTTAGGATCCAAAAAATCAAAATCTCGTGAGGCTTCTGGCTATTAAAAGATATATCAAACTCACAGATAAATGTGATACTATGATATTTGTGAGTTCGTCAATTTCAGGGTTACCACATTTTGAGACGAACCTGTACAGATTTTTGGGGCAAGACGGCAAGACCTACAACGGTGGTCCAGTGGAAGCCAGGGAGCTTTGATGGTTGCTGTTGGATGCTGTTGCTACCTGTTACTGTTGTTTCCCAAGTCAATCATATTTCAAGTAGCAAGAGACATCAAAGGCAGCTTTGATCAAGGGGTCAAAAGATGTTGATTCCATGCAGGTAACCCTGACGAAGGGCAGGCAGCCCGTCTCGTCCATTGCCCCCCGTTTTTCGCAAGTCTCCAGGACACCCTTGGGGCCAACTATAGGGTATCCAAGCTGATCTTCATCTGGGTTTGTTTGAACATGGGGGACCCCCAAGTAATCTAATGGTTTAGTTTATCATCATATTTCCAACTCAAATTACTTCTTTGGGGGCTATACCCGGTAATTATATCCCATGTTCAGTTGATTAAAGCTGTCCATTCAACGATGATTCCTCCCATTGACGACCATTTGGCGTACCCAAGGGTACCCTTCAATCAAGGATGGCAGTGGGAATTTCCCTAGAGGTGTTCATGGGAAACATCGAACTAAATGGATGTCCAGCAAGCCATGTGGGAACCCCAGAGGCTACCCTCTGGTTATTCAACAATATTCAACATAGCCATGGTAGAGATTGCCCATTTATAGATGACTTGTACCCTCTGGTAAACTAACATAGCTATTGAAAATGACCATTTATAGCGGATTTACCCATTAAAAATGGTGATTTCCATAGTTATGTTAGTTTACCAGAGGGTATATCTATTAGAATATGTTAAAATATCTTAAAATGGTGATTTTCCAGTTCGCTACGTCAAAATCGTCAAATAAAAAAAGACGGTACAGCGCCAGAGCAGCCTCCCGACCCCAGCGGCTAAAGGCGCTGTTCAAAGCATCGAAGAAACCACCCAACTGCCGATGGCCGTCACTCATGAGTGGTTCCTATGTATGTTATTCATATTGAAGCACTGAGAGATTTGGGAAAGCTGAGCCATGCATTGCGAGGACTCATGAGATCATTCGATTTCTACATCTTCAAACCACTGACCTGGAGTTGCGTCTAACGCAAGATGTCGCCAGCTTGTTTGGTCCAGTGTTCAAGGCAACCCAGCGTCACAAGATGTTCTGTTGGTGGTTTGTCAATGTCATAATCACAGATAGAATGAACAATGATGAAAATGAAAAGGCAGTGAAACCACCAACCAACAAGTCTTGTAGAGTCTTGCTAGACCTGGAAGTAGAAATGATTCATGTTCATCGTTTCACCCCTTGATTCTCAGAGCCTCATAGTGACTGGCAATAAGTTGAGTTACTTTTCAGAGAAGGATTGACAGCACCATGCCATTTCAACCACCTGAGCTGCAATTTGCGGCCGCTGCACTCTAGTGATGGCCACCTGGCGAAATGGGAATGTCGGGAAATACCCCAACAATGGCCATTGAACAGGGAAAATGATGATACACTGATAAACTCTGGGATTTTGGATGATTTTGGGGTCTTCTATATTCAGACAACCCCACCCTATCTCTCAAGAAATGGCTGCTCTTTGGCCCACATCACACACATCTCGACATCACACCACGGATGTCGACCTTGCGATCCTCGAACAGGCTCGAGAAGATCTTTTGTAGATAGGCGTTCACATCCAAAACATACCTGCAGATGTCTTAGGCTGCTGATCCATGTCCCCTCCAGCCCCATCAACCTGTGCCACTGCTCAGAATCCTTAGGTCGGATTTACGGCACATGCACGCTGTTGGCCAGCATCCTCCGCTGCTTAGATTTAGATTTAGAGATTTACACATGTATATATTATATATATAATATACACATATAACATATTATAACATCATATAGCTATCCATTTTATACAGTGGTAAATATCCCAAATTTTCCATGGAACATCCCCTTTTTGTTCGGTCAAGTTCCGTCGAACCCAAGCTGTGATGCGCACTCGATGACTTCATCCCAGTTCCGCTCAACGAAGGCCTGGATGACCGAAATGACTGACATATCATGGATCAATGGAATGGTTCAAGTCACTGGGATGGTGGGAAAATTTACAGGAAACCATAGGAAACCCCTATCTTTCATGGGAAAATCCATGGAAAATCGTGTAGATGTTCCAAACCAATCCAGTGAAGGGAGCACTTACAGAAAAGCCAAGCAAAATCAGGGATTCCTAGGATTTCCATGGATTTCCCAGGTCAGGAATATGACTTAGACATACTTAGACCATCTCTGATGTCAACGTTGTCATTTCCCATGGGTTTTTCATGGTGAACTCCCGAAGTCTGGATGGTGAAATGATGTTGAATTCTCGTCAAAACCCTGGAGAATCCCCATGTCTTTAGCTAAAACCTCCATCCAAAAACTGCTGAACTTCCCCCAGAGCCACCTGTTGGTACGCACGTTCCGCAGCCCCTGAGGCATCAGGTAGATCTGCCAGGCATTGCGCGCGGATCTCGGCGGCCACCTGGGATGAGCGGATCATGGAAAATCATGGGTGTGTTGACTGATTCTTTGGGGATTCTTCATGGGAGATATAATGGGAGATATCAGATTTCAATGGAATTGATGGGATTTGACCATCAACTTAATGGGAATATCATGGGAACATGACAAGATAATAAGATTTACTCTCTGGTCATTTTTCATTGCGCGAACTGGAAAATCACCATTTCATCGAACTAGACTAAATGGACCATTTTCAATCGCTATGTTAAATTAGCAGAGGGCAACTGATTGTTTCAGAGAAAGCCATGGAAAATAATAAATGATGGATTGTTTGCAAATTGAAATCACTGAAAATCATGCAAATCGCTGAAAAATGCTCCAAGTGAAACATAGAGCCTGACAAGGCAAACTATATGGAGATTAGTTCAGAGTAAATCGATTTTAAAGAAACATGATGTATGGCTTGTAGAGTAGATATCACTATTTCTGGTAAGAGTAGCAATTGCCTGTTACGGGTTTTCCCCGAAAAGTCTGGTTGGAAAACTGCCCCACGAGGCCCGCACTGCCAAGAGTGTCCCATCCAGCCACTCCCGCGCCAGAGAATCGAAGAAGAGTTCTGCCTTGGACAACTTCAACGATCATCCCATGCAGGTGTTCTATTCCATTAAGACTTTTTTGAAAAGGACCATATTTTTCCTGTTGGCTATAATACCCTCTGGTAATTTAACATAGCTATTGAAAATGACCATGTATTTCGTGGATTTACCCATCGAAAATGGTGGATCTTTCCATAGTTATGTTAGTTTACCAGCGGGTACATGATATACCCTCCGTGAATCAAACGTGGCTAGTACATTATGACATCCCCTATAGAGGTTTTCCAGAAAAAAAAACATCTATAAATAAGAGATTGTTCAGCCACGTTTGATTTCCGGAGGGTGCCCCAGACAATATCCCATATACCCTGGGGTAAACTAACATGGATGTGGAAAACCAATGTTTTCCCGCTAGGAAAATGCTCTACTACTGGTTTTCCACATCTATGCTAGTTTACACAAGAGTATCTCATAGGTTTCATGGTGAAATCATCATTAACCATTTTTAACCATCATTTACTATGATGAACCATTACAGTATTAACCATTATCAACCATCAATCACCTTTATTAATTATGATTAACCATAAGTTTTATTCTAATTATATAACCATTGAATGGAGGTATCCATATTGGGTTTATTAATTGTTGGGATTATTAACCATTGGGATTATTAACCATCATTACCAAACTTTTGTTAGCTAATATTAATCATTAACCATCATTAACCATCCATATTACCCTCTGGTAATTTAACAGTTTGCTATTGAAAATGACCATTTATTTCGCGGATTTACCTATTGAAAATGGTGGAACTGTCCATAGTTGTGTAAACGTTTACCAGAGAGTAGCCAATTGGGATTATTAACCATCATTAACCATCTATATTAGCCAATATTAGCCATCCATCTTGGAAAAACAAAACAAAAAAAAAAAAAAAACGATCTCCCGTGTCCCCACACCAGCATCTTTGCGCGCCCCGTGTCGCTGGTGTGCCGCTGCACCTGGGCTTGCAACATCGTCATCAAGTTTATAACCACTATTAAATGTCGTATTTAAATATTATCAATAACAAATATCTATAGATATCTTACAGTTTTGTTAATAACGGTTTATCACCTAGTATCAAGCAAACATCTTGATCATATCAGATCGTGATTCGATCGAGTTGCTGTTGCAAAAGTGATTGGATATCATCAACTAACCCAGGCTTTGCAACCCCAACAGCAGATTCCAAGGTTCCAGGGTTCCAGCATTGCGGTTCCGTTCTCCCAGACCCAGAGATTGAAACCCAGCAGTCACTGCTGTTGGGGAGCTCACATCATCCAATGGCGGTGGTTGGTGGTATACCTACCGCCCTGAAAAATATGAAAGTCAATTGGGATCATGACATTCCCAATATGATGGGGAAAAAAAAAAGTCATGTTCTAAACCACCAACCAGTATATCATTGATCTATTTTTCGGACATTTTCTGGGGATATCTTTTCAACTTAGCACGATTTTGGACGTGCCTGAAACTGGGGGTATACCCCAATTTGTGGCAGTGTTTAATAGAGAAAATGATGATTAACGAGAAGTTCAACTACAATATAATCACATTGGTTGGATGGTTGCAAACAACTATGTATATAACCAAATAATACCAAATAGTCCACCTTCCATCCAACTAATCAACCCACCACCTAGTGGGTTAAGAATTTACAGATCAAATTCCATCATGGTAGTTCACATGCTTTTTCAAGCACCTGCTCCTGCTGATGAAAAGTACACTATACTCCACCTCCAATATTTAGTGCGGGACTATGGAAGCAGAACAATAATTAATCAAGAGAGTGTGGCATCATTGCCCCCAATCCTGGTTCTGTACGTGGACCTGCGGAGCTCTGATGTCTCAAAGGAGAAGTCTTACAAAAAAAACTCACCCCTCATGGTTGCACCACCATTTGGTGCTAGTTGACCTTTGGCCAGCTTTGACCCCATTTGGGCTCAGACCATTTCGATGAACTCCTTCTCTGTGTTTTGACCTCGCGCCAACGAAAAGTGCTCCGGCAGGCCAACGAAAACGATTCCAAACCACCACGCCCCAACTCCACTTAAAACACCGCGAGCACCATCAACATCCATCAACACATAGGCAAAAGATGTTTCCGCCAGTGGTCTTGTCGAGTCTTGTCATGTTTCTTGCCATCACCAGCTGTCATGTTTCGCCCACCATTCCCAGCATCAAAGTCTTGGCGTCCACACGATGGGATTGCAAGACTTTCCACTGATGCGCGGCTCGTTTCGCCTGAACGTGGCGCCAAATGGCTCCAAATGCCATGGCATCAGCTTCTTCCAAAGTGCTTTGGGAAGATGATTAAATTACCTGATTTTATGGGCTTTGTGTGATTTGGGGACCCTCAAAATCAAAACTGACTCAGTTTATACTTGAGTCCTCCGGGTTGATCTCAAGATGTCTGGCTTGTGGAAACCCCTTTCCCAGCCTTGCCCAATCTCCGAATTCTGCTCAAGGCTAGATTGAGAAGGAACCTACCACCTCACATTTGACATGTGTTTTATTCAATCATCAAATAAATGATCCACCAATTATGTATCAATCAATCATATGTCTACATCTATCATTATCTATCTATGTAATATACCATTAGAGCTATATACCCTCTGGTAAACTAACATAACTATGGAAAATCATCATTTTTAATGGGAAAATCCACTATAAATGGTCATTTTCAATAGCTATGTTAGTTTACCAGAGGGTATATATAATCTGTCATGGTAAACCTATGTAATTTACACATCAAATGTCTTTTCAGAAATGATGGCCTCAGCATCCACCAGTGCATTGAGGACATTTTGCCTGGCAGATGGGACAATCTGATGGGGAAATACAGTGATATACAATGATGAAGAAGTGGATATAAAACTTTAGGGCTTAGTAAATTTGGGGTGAACAAAAAAAATGGATGGCTAATGCTTGAGGATCTGAACCCATCACAGGGGGGGCAGATGATTGTCAAATGATGGCATGATGAGTACCTAATCAATCTTTGATTAAACTGCATTTGTCTAGGTATGTCCAAAAAATAGGCATATCTGCAAATTTCCGTTTCTAACTTGGCAAAAAAACGAAAAATGGATCAAACAGTATCAAACATATCGTAAAATGGGCTTTAAATATTCTAATCAAGATGTTTGGAACATAGGTTCATGCTCCATTTTTGTAAATGAACATTGTTTTCATGCGGCCAGGCCAAGCTCTTTCAAGATTTCAATAAAGTTTTATATATGTAAAGATGGTAGGATTGTATATATCATTATATATTAAATGTTCATGAAAACAATATTTTCCATATCACATCACCATGGTAAACATAGTGTTTACCATGTTTATTTTCAACAAAAAGATGATGTTTATTCCATATTACCCTCTGGTAAACTAACATAACTATGGAAAGATCCACCCTTTTTTATGGGTAAATCCACTATTTCTATGGCCATGTTCAATAGCTATGTTAGTTTACCAGATGGTATTCCATCTTAAACATGGTAAAGCTGATCCCATCACCCGCCTCAAGGCCAGGTGTAGGGCATTCAGGAAAGCCACCCGCCCACCGCGCAGCCGGATGCCCAACCTGAGCGCTGGGATCTGGTGGGATTCTTTTAGCAGCTGAGAAGCAGGTGAAAAGTAGGTGAAAAGTAGGTTACCCTCTGGTCAACATACAAAAAGCTATTGAAAATGGCTATTTATAGTGAGTTTTCCCATTAAAAATGGTGATTTTCCATAGCTATGTTAGTTTACCAGAGGGTAAACCAACAGACATTGGGAAATGTATCCGAACTTATTTATCAGTCTATGTTGTAATATCCTCTGTTTTGTTGCTGAATTTTTTTGTCGTATTGTATCACACCTATACTTTTGGGACTGTGTAAACTGTGGTTTGTATCACCACGTATCACCGATCGAACGTAGCACATCCCGCTGTCCACCTTTTGCTGGCGCTGGCCCGTCACGTGCCATGAACGCTGCAGATTTCGCACCGTTGCGTAACGCTGGTCGTTTTTGCCGTGCAGCGGCACTTTTGTTAGTCCAGTTCTATGAAATCCAAGATTCACTCATGAATGGTAGATGGGTAGATGGTTTTAACATCTTTTAACCATTGAAAAAGTCCTTGGGTCCTTGGGGTTTCTCAGGGAAGCCACCATGGCCACTGCTGACTGGACTATAGCAGGCTACCATCTCTCCTCAGGCGCCCACCTGGGGGATTCATCGACATTGGTTGTGCTAAAGCTGTTAATTCCACTTGGAGATATCTACTATAAACATCTATAAACATCTGGAAACATCTAGAAACATCTAGAAACATCTAGAAACATCTAGAAACATCTAGAAACATCTAGAAACATCTAGAAACATCTAGAAACATCTAGAAACACCTATAAACATCTATAAACATCTAGAAACATCTAGAAACATCTAGAAACATCTAGAAACATCTAGAAACATCTAGAAACATCTAGAAACATCTATAAACATCTAGAAACATCTAGAAACATCTAGAAACATCTAGAAACATCTATAAACATCTATAAACATCTAGAAACATCTAGAAACATCTAGAAACATCTATAAACATCTATAAACATCTAGAAACATCTAGAAACATCTAGAAACATCTATAAACATCTATAAACATCTATAAACATCTATAAACATCTATAAACATCTATAAACATCTATAAACATCAATAAACCATAGAATTCACCAAAAGTTGAACTAAACCAACTTAGTTATATCATAAGTCAACTATCACAATTCCCATTCTTCGTCAAACACCGACTTTATCAAAATCCCCACCATATTTCCCATGGATTCCGATGGTTCGAAAGGCGTCCCTTTTTCAGGGAGACCTCATCGGAGGGCGATGGCATGACTCTGCTCCTCCACCAGAGCATCGTGGTAGAAATAGGAGAACTTGCCTCATGGATCGGTGAGCAACATCTCAACCGGAGACCATGGTTTTCCCCACAGACAAAGGTGTCCTGTATTCCAACCAATGACAGTTCTGAAAGAGGAATAGCAGTTCTAATCGAACTTACCAGGTTTCAATCCACAAGTGTGTCTGCAAGAAAATCCATACATGTGAGTCTACAATTAAATGTAGCTCCAGATTCATATAAATAGATAGAGACATACCTTCAAAGATGGACGGATGGACGGACTGATATAGATATAGATGATATCATATATATATATGGACATAGATATAGATATAGATATTGGATATAGATATAGAATATCACAAGATATGAGTACATATATATATATATGTATATATAAACGTAGGTACATATATATATATATGTATGTATCAAATGTGTTTACATCTTGTACGACATGGCGTATATATCTTATATCACGCACCCGGTGGCTTTGGTTGTCCGCCGCGTTGCACGTCTCCGAGTCCGGTCTCGGTCGATAGCCCAAGGGCTGACGACATTGCCTGCGATCTCTGAGATTCCATGAGATCGTTGTCGGAATCCAAATAAATTAGCTAGTAGAACTAGTATCCACCGGATTTCTATCCCAATTTTTATGAGATAGTGAAATAAGAAAATAATAACAATAATATTAATACTATGAATAATATTAATATTATGAATAATAATTATAATATTAATAATATTTATAATATTAATAATGTTAATAATGTTAATAATATTAATAATATTAATAATATTAACAATATTGATAATATTAATAATATTTATAATATTAATAATGTTAATAATGTCAATAACATTAATAATATTAATAATATTCATAATATTAATAATATTTATAATATTAATAATATTAATAATATTGATACTATTAATATTAATATTCATACTAATATTGATAATGATATTCATTATATATAATGTACTGTAATGTAATGGGATAAAAACTGATAATGATTTGTATTCCTTGGACATGATTCCATGACATACGTTGGTGTAGTATCCAAGAATTGTATCCATTGAGTTTGTTGTTGATTCGGGAATATACTCCCATCAGTAAGTTGTGGATACCGCTATCAGCTATATCATATTTCCATATGATTGAAATATCATATTATATATCCATTTATAAAAGTCACTATTTATATTTAGTATGACATCATACTATCACACCGCTCTCATTACACAAAAAAGACCTTGGTTCTTTTTGTCGAAAAAACCGTCCTGGGATGATATCCGACATGACTCAAGGGAGATCCACATCAGGCCTGCAATAGAAGCGGTACTGCTGTTCCACGCCATTGGGCCTCTTGAGATTTATCCTTGCACCATTGTTTCGCCAAAACAAAAATGACGTTTCTGTCAGAAAATGAAGCCCAAGGGGCCATTGTTTGATGCCGGGAAAAACATGGAAAAACTCCAAAAAGTGATGAAGTCCAACATGAATGGGATGTAAAACAGAGACTGAAATGGTTGATGGCAATCCTTCGCAGTTAGCCACATGACTCTTTGTGTAAACCACCACATGTGCATATTACCAGCTGGCATCTTGGCTTACCACCTATATTTAATATCTTCCAGTATCTTCCAGCATGGGAAAAAAATATGCCAGTCCTCTCACCAAAGTTGGCATACTTCTTGTGGAAGTGCATCGCCTGCGGCACACGCAGGCGAAAAAAGAAATGTCAGTGTGCCTCGGCAATCCTTCAAGAAACCCGTGGCGAAACCCATCTCTTGACCCATAGACAGAAAACACCAGCGAGTGAATCATTCACCACCTAGTAAATGGTGTGAATGGTACACCACCAGGGTGCCCAGAAAATTTCTTGGTAACTGAAAAGGTGACCCCTCCAGGGTAGCAGTCATAGTCTGGCGCCTCCTCTAGGGCAAAGGACTTGTCCTGAGGAAATCTAAGCACTCCCAATGCCAAACCCACCAAGAATATAGGCTTACTAAGCCCATCAGGGGTTGATTCAGGGTTCATGGTGGTTAAGAAGCCTTAAGATTGCCATTAATCGGTTCTTACTAGTGGACCATACGATGGTACCCGGGGGCAGCTATTTCCCTGGCCGCTGATCAAGTGGCTGTTCTTCTTCTTGGGAGCTTCATGATCTTTGCATCTGCAGCGACGCAGTGCTCCCCGCCTGGGCCCATTGGATGGCAAGTCAGCCTTGATGAGGGTGGCAATGACAATGATCATGATTGATGAATATTAATGATCATGATGTTCATCAGGATGAGTCATGATAAATCAGGGTGAACAACCCCACCAGCAATCCCACTGTCTGGTTTCTGGTGCCTTCTGTTTCAAGTTTCCCTGGTCCGACCAGGGCCCCAGACAAATAGAGCAATAGTGAGAGATGATGGTCTTCTCGCCGACGACCTCAGAGATCCCCGACGTCTGCAGCTGAACATCTTGTGAACATCTTCAACCTTCAGCAAGTGGAACAAGAAACATGCTGTCCTGGTGCATCTCATTCTCTCTGTTTGTAAATCTCAAGTGGAGTTAAATGCTGAAAACGGAGGTTTTTCTTGCGGTTCTGATTCTCACACTTAGGAGACTTGGATTCTGGCCGCGCTATCTTCACTGGTAAAGTTCACAATCTTGAACTTCCTGTAGCCAGGACGATTAGTCTATCGGTGACCATGGTTTCAGCATAGGCCGTGACAAGTGTGTTGATCCCTTAAGGTTCCCCAGTGGCGTCTGTGGTAAATCCATCTAGCCATCTGCAAACACACTAAACAATATGCGAATCTGCATGTTTACACTAATATCATCTAACCACATAACAAAAAAACAAACAGTCCAAAAAATCTAGATCTGTATGTCCAATAATATGTATATATATATATATAGTGTATATATATATAAGTATATATATAATCAGTATGAATTAGTATTAATTAGTGCCATCCATTGCCGTCAGCCATCTCCGCACCTACTGACACCTTCTTCCTGCGCTTCTTCCAACTCGTCGCGACGGCGTTTCTTGATGTCCGCCAAAGTGGCCTGTCCCTCGCCGGTCTTCACGCGCCTGTTGGCTGGGGATGGTGAACCAAACCAAGCTATTTCAGTAAGACCTGGGGGAAACATCTATGGATATATATATATGGTGAATATGGATGAATATGGGGTATCACAAACTGTAAGGCAAAAAATTAATCGGAAAAAATCCAGTGAAGTAAGTAGATGTTTTAATTGGCTATGAGAGCTGGCAGAGCTCTCAAGTCTGGAAAACTTCACTTTGGAACTTGATTTTTTTTACGACCATCAAGGCCTGAGTCCTGGAAGTTACGGCTTAGCTTAGCGGCTAAGCTAAGCTGTCTTAGAGGTGAAATCATAAGTCGATCATAAATAATCCCAGGTTTGTAAGTGATATCAAGTATATCCTCTGGTAAACTAACATAGCTATGGAAAATCACCATGTTTAATGGGAAAACTCACTATAAATGGCCATTTTCAATAGCTATGTTAGTTTACCAGAGGGTATATCCTCCAATTTGGGTAGCCTCAAATTTGGGTAGCCCGACTTTGAAAAAGATGGATGCTTTGCATTGAAAAATCACCAAAAGCATCGGCTGCTGTCGAATCAACCGCTGATCCAAGCACCATATGGGGTCGAATGGGATGTCCTTCCCAGAAAGAAAATCCAAAAAACCAAAGAATGGACCCTTCAGCTCTGATTTCCTCCTCCTTCCTCCCTTTCTGTACTGCTTCCCTTCTCCACGCTCAAGCAAAACAAAAAACATCATTGGCCTTTGCGAAATCCCCAATGTTTGTCCGTTGAACCAGTGGAACTTATAGAGTTTTTTGTGTGTTTTTGTTCGAAAATCCCTGATTTCATCATTCCCATCACATCCCATCACCCAACTGGCCCAAGTCCGAAACCAGGGCACCAGTTTGGATCATCGCCCTTCATGCGTTCGAAGGCGCCACCCTTTTGTTCCTGGCCCTGGCCATCCAACACATCCTTCATGGATCTGGAATATGGGGAAATCATTGGGAGGTCACTCCAAAATACACCATTTGTCAATACAGGAATGAAGTAAACTCACTATATCCATGGTCATATTTGGTGAAGAAACATTCGCGGCTCACCCATGGTGCAGCACATCAACGGTTTCAGACTCGACTGAATCTTATGAGCATATCTTTTTCACAACATCTGCTGAAGAAAGGTAAGAGCAGCGACAGATCCACCGTTTCGACAAATCCCAACTTGCCAACCCCTCCTGGCTCGGGTCATTTTGCGCGCTGATCGACGCTTGGTACGCTGCGAGCCTCAGAATACAGTGGCCATGAGACCAACGGAGTCTGCTTCACCCTGGGCCATGTGGATTCCTGATCCCGAGTTCCCCGGCTCTTCATCGTCGTTGTTCATGACGGTGAACTGGTGAGGCATTCGAGGCTGGGATGGGGGGGTTCTGTTAAAGCTTGCTATGGATGGGTCCCACATAGATCCACATAGTCCTTTTTCAGGGGACCAACTAACAGTGCAAACGAAGATCAAGAGGCGTTCTCCAAAAGTTTGCGTCCGACTACATGCTGATAGGGCTAGAAGCAGCATGCGCATGATCCGCGAAGTTCCCCCCTGTTCCAAACAGACATCCAAACCTCACAAGCTGCGATGATTCTTCTGGCAGATATGTGAACCCTTGCAAGTTTGGTGAACACATCATCGCCCTCATCCTGTCTTAGAAATGCAGAAGCTTCCCACCAGAAACAGCGCGGGAGTCGGTTGTGCCTCTACTTGGCCAGGTTCAACACGCGACTATGCTGTGAGAGATCCCAGCAGAGCCAAAATTGCCATTTCGAGGCATTCAGCAAGTTGAAGCGACTACGTACCATTTTAAGGCAGGTTCCGCACTGCGGAACGTAGCAGGGGAAATCACAGTGTCACAAATGCTTTGAAACACCAAATCCCAAGGATTGCAGTATTGGCTGGTGATACATATGTCCTTGGGAGTCATCCAAGTTAATTATGTTGTGTAGACATAGATAGATGGATGGATGAGATGAGATTTGATTAGATTAGATTTAGATAGACAGATAGATAGATCGATACATAGATACCTAGATGAATGGATAGAAAAATATACATACCGTATATCATCGCTATCGAGCCATCATCGCTGCAGGCTACGCCCCCCGGCTGACTGAGGAAGCGAGTTTCTTCCACCTGTCGGCAAGCCGCATTGATGGGATGGTTTCACGAGGTTCATTGCGGTTCCTCTATCAACATCACATTTGTGCCATGGTCAAAACATGTTCGCTTCTACATTCTCTTGAAACACCCCTGAATTTTGCCTCATCTTTTGTAGTTTACAGCCATAAACGGGGTTGGTTGTTCCTAGGGGGGGTCCAGCCCCTGAAATAGTAGACCCCAGTGGCTGTTTTCCAGAGGGGCCTGACCCCCCCATACCCCTTTTGAGCATTTCTGAATGGATAAAATCTAGGGGCCCAAGTCTAGCATTCGTAAACCAAACATTTTTGCTAACACTCAACTTGGACAAGGGAACCAATACTTTGGAGCATTTTGGACGTTCAAAAATGATCAAAGGTCAGGCCCCTCAAAATATTTTGGGCATGTTGTGAATATTTAGGACATACATGTTTTATCTGTGAATCTTGGAGTGAGATAAAATCCAAGGGGCTGGACCCCCCCCTTGGGTCCTCTTTGGAAGCGAATACCCTTGAGGGGACCTAGGGGGGTCCAGCCTCTTAGAATTTATCTCACACTTATGATCGAGATAAAATCTAGCATGTCTGCAGATAAAATCAAGGGACCTATCGTCATTTTTACTAAGGCTTAAAAAAAATAGCCATGCACCCCAGGGGCTGGAGCTCCTACATCTCAGCTGGGAGCTACCAACGGGGTTCCATATATGGTTACATAACTCATTATATCCCGCTAATTTCCGTTGAATCCCATTAAGTTGATGGTCAAATCCCATCAATTCCATTGAAATCTGACATCTCCGACTCCCATTGTATTCTCATTAAATCCCCATCCAGTTGACGGTTAAATCCCCATTAAATCCTCTGTAAATCCCGTGAAATCCCGGTTGTTTTTCTTGCTCAAAATCCCCAAATCCCCATCCCCATGACGAAAATGGAGATTTTCCCTCAAATCATCCAAGTAGACCACTTATGACCATAATGTCAACCCCGGAGTAATAAGCCATGGTTTATTAATTAGGGGGGGTACTCCTCCAATAGCCATCATCCAACACTTAGATGGTACCCCAATCATTGTAGTATTGAAACCTATGGTGACTTGATCCATGACTTACGAAACACGACGATCAAACAGCTCCGGGGGTTGGAGCTGCCTGCAGCGCCCCATTGAGCCGCTGCATGGCATCCAACAACTTCTCTTCCGAAGGCATTTCGCCGTCCACCTGGCATACCGGGTTCGCCAGGTGGTGCTGGGAGACTTCTATGTTTTTCTGGTTTTTCATGGGAGATTTCGTGGTCATTGAAAAACCATCAACTAACCATCAACCATCAATTTCCTCTGGTTTTTCTTCATCTAACCATCAACTTCATGGGATCTCATGGGAGTTCATGGTGATTTAAGCATCAAAAATAGAGGGATTTATGATTTATGTATATGTATATATATATAGTGGGATTGGGATATGTGGGCATATAAACAGGATGTTTAATATAATAGGTTTTAATGATGGGATTTAACAATCAACAATAGGGATGATCAATATCAATATATATATATATACTTTTTACATCAAGGCCATTGAATAACACATGAAAATCTGGGATCAACGGTTACATGATTTGTTTTTGTATCTTTGGAAAAAAAAAAACTCACAAAACCGTTGATTGATTCATCCATCAACTCATTGGTTCTTTCAATTCATGGATAGACCAATATACCTCTGCATACATGTTATATATTATATTATATTATATTATATTATATTATATTATATTATATATATGTAGATATACATTATGCATACAAATCAATTCTATACATATCATACAAATATCTTGTTGTGGTTGGTTATCCCACGTTAACTCCCCATGAAATCTCCCATTGTTTCTCCCCTTACAGTAAATCTTTTCCACCTCCAGCACCATCATGGGCAGCAGACGTCGACGAAGCTCAGGAACCTGCAAACTCCCACGAGGATCATGGATCAATGGGAATTTCAGGATCCTAAAATGGAGGTACCTACCACATATAAGGCCTATGTAAGGCCTACGTAAGGGGATATACCCCCAAAATATGGCCTTATATGGTACAGTACCTCCATTTTAGGATCCTGGAATTCCCATTGATCCTGGAGGATCCGCCCAAAAAAGATGGGTGAAGACCGAAGACCTGAATACCCAGTAATCATTGGATGGTTAAGTATTATGATTAATATGCTTCATATAGTCTTTTTCTGTGCTTCTGTTTAGGTCTGAATAATTTTGACACATACCCGTAGATATAGATGATATGTACTGAAAATATGTCCAGGTGTTCCACTTTTGGGCATCTAGTTTTGGCGCGCTACATATCTATATGAATCTATGTGTGATATGTGTATATATATATTATACACATAGATATAATATACATGTGTATATATATATATATATTATGTCCAAAAATGGGAGTAGCAGCAGAAATGAATCATGGCTGTAAGGAAATCGGCATCTGAAAAAACTGAGTTCTCCCGCCACATGGCTTCGAATCATCTCTGTCTCATTCGTCGACGTCGCCCTGCCGGATGGATGTTCACGGTCACCCATGGGTAGTGGCAGTATATCATGGGATATCTACACTACTTTATTAAGAACGATATGATTTCTGAAAATGGGATATAGTAAGCCCCAAAAGGATTAAAAGTGATTCAAGCGTTCATCATCATGTTAATAGGAATTTACTTTTTATCTTTTCTTCGGGGTACTATATACCCCTACAGTAATTTATGGCAATTTGTGTTGGACAAATTCATCTGGACAAAATTGGCTGCCTCCTTTTTGGCGGGTCAATTGAGCCGCAACAACCCATATGACGAGACAAAAATGATTTGGCTATATGATGCAAGATAAAATATATCAAAATATATGTACATAATGTACATATACATATGTATATATATATATTGTAAGTATATATAGTGTATATACATCCAAAGGGTTAAAAAGTGGAATCCCTTCACGATTTGCGGACCACTTTTTTTTAAGCAGACATGTACTTTTTGCGCCTTACCGCCGTTCAACAAGAGACATGGCCAGAACTCAGTTTTTTCCCCACTACCCTGCTGATTCACTGCCTCATTCATCTGGTGAATCACTATGAAGAACGGCTTCTTCAGCTGAAAAAAACGGCTTTGTCTGAAAATAGGGTACCCCGAATGTTCATACTTTCTTCATCTTCCCCATTAAATGTTCGCCATTTGTTTTGTGACCTACCTTCTCAGATCACCAAAATGGGACCGGGGTGAAATCATGTGAAATCTTCCATGGTATCCCCATGGTATCCCCATGGTCAATGGTTGGTTCAAAATATGGGGAAATCAATGGGAAATCAATGGGAAATCAATGGGAAATCAATGGGAAATCAGAGATCCTGCACCTCGGAGCATAGCCCTTCTCGGTTCGTTGAGCTGCCACGAACTCCTGCAACCTGCGGACGGTTGCCGTGACGGTTGCCGTGACACGGCGACACCCTGGTGATGGCATAGCGCATAGCCTGGTGATATGTCATGGGACGACCAAGAATTCTATGGGAATCTTGGGGTTTCCATAAATGGGGTGGTATCCCCAAATGGAAGGTTTATAAGGGATATTCCGATATTCCCATTAAAATTGATGATTTGGGGGTACCCCTATTTTAGGATGCACTCATGTATGTTCAATATCAAATACGTATTTATCGAGAAACATAAACTATTGTGAAAAAACAATAAATTTGTCAAATAGTGTGTGTATATATATATATTTATATATATATATGATATACATATATATATACGTATATGTACATATGGTAATATGTACAACAATACAATGCAGAATTCATTGCAGGCATCAAAATCATTGTGTATATATATATATAGACATGCTTTCTTTTCCAAAATGCTAAACAAAAAATAAAGCATTCTTGGAAAGAGACAACATCTCTGTAGAAAATGTAGTATTCTGGACAGTCGTGATTTGTGGCTTCATGTGCAAACCATTTCCATATCTCAAAAAAACTGCAAAATCCATACTTTCACCGCTCCACCTTTCACGGTAGTCCGCTCTCTTTAGGAAACCTCCATATGTTTATGGGAAATGGGATGCATAAGCTGTTTGATATGATATGGGTGTCTAAAACTGGGGTACTCAACGAATGGCAATAACCAGTGGATCAAATGCAGTCGCCTATTGCTACACCCAATCAATGATGCACATGATGCTGATGAGAAACCCGATGCAGCCTGATAATTCGTGTGGTTGTAGATATTGTTCATCATATTTGGTATGGTATGATACAATATCCACAAAGGAGCTGCTCTACTTTCCCCTGTGACCCGATTCACCTGATCAAACGGGCGATTCTGTGGTCACTAAAGCTTCCATGCAGCAACATGGTCGAAATGCTGTCACGAACAGGGGCTTGTAAATGTTGACTTAACGTATTTCACCACCACTTTCAATGGGGCTTTCAGGAATCATGCTGCTTTCATTATTTTGGTGCCCTTGTTTGCCCCTGCGGCCCCTGCGGCCCCTGCGGCCCCTGCGGCCCCTGCGGCCGCTGCGGCCGCTGCGGCCCCTGTGGCCCCTGCCTGCTGGCTGAGCGAAGTTCCAAGTAATTCATGACATTATCCCAGGCGAAAGCATCGGCAGATAGCAAGCCGCTGCTGGGAACCTGATGTTTGACTCATCCGAGCGCGGCTCGGATGGGAAGCTGAAGCAAAAAGGGGTGAGTAGGGTTAGCCTGTGCTAATCAAAGGTGGCTGGTTGGGAAATCCCGTAAATGGCGGGTTTCAAAAAGAAAATCACCTATAGATGGTGGATTTGATATTGCCACGTTTGATTAGCGGAGGGTAGTTCACTTCGAAGTGGGATGGTAACATATTCTAACACTTCCCAAGCAGGGCGAACGTTGCTGTGTCTATTTTTGTTGGGTTCAAGCCTAGGATCTTGGCCAAAATCCAAAATAGAAACCTCCAACCAGAATCCCACCAGAATTGGGTTTATTTTCTCAACAATCATCTGGATTGGGTAATCATCCCCAAGTTGAAAATCCCAGATACTGTAATTGTTTGATTTTGACTTGGATTTCCACTGACCCACAACAAATGACCAGTACCAGCACGTGTCCCGAGCCATGACGAAGTCTGGAAGCCATGTCGTGTTGAAGTCACCAAGTGGGTGTAGGTCAATGAACCAAGTGCAAAGAAAAAAACGCCTTCACATGATGATATACGCTATCTAAGCCTGTATCTAATAATTCCTTATATGGAGCCCATGAAAAATTACAGTAGTTTACAGGTCGATGATCTTGCTTCAGCAGATACAGCTGGCTCAGTCGGCTCAGCAGTTCCAAGACTGATGAACAACAATCATGAGGACGTCATGCAAAAATGGTTCCCCCGAAACAAAGGCAAATCAGCTACAGCTACAGATGTTTTTGCCATGACATGCACCTATGCAGGTATATACATGAACTGATCCTGGACTTCGGAGCTGTCACCACCACATTCTGGATTGCCCCATGTCACTACAGTTCCATCTGCTAGAATGGCAGCAAAAGCAGAGTCTGTACCCCAAATCTGCTCAACATTTCTGAGCTGATCTTGGACTCCGGAGCTGTCACCACCACATTCGGCAGCGCCCCATGTCACTACAGTTCGATCTGCTAAAATAGCAGCAAATGCATAGTCTGTGCGACAAATCTGCTCAACGTTTCTGAGCTGATCTTGGACTCTGGAGCTGTCACCACCACATTTGGGAGCGCCCCATGTCACTACAGTTCCATCTGCCAAAATGGCAGCAAAAGCAGTGTGTGTAGCACAAACCTGCTGAACATTGCTGAGCTGGTTTTGGACTCCGGAGCTGTCACCACCACATTCAGGAGCGCCCCATGTCAGTACAGTTCCATCTGCTAGGATGGCAGCAAAAGGGGGCAAATATTGCAAAGGCAACAGGCCAAATATGCAGACCGGAGTCTGCACTAAGACGCTGCCACCAAAAATATTCTTAAGGCGGTAGCACAGGTGGCAGCACCGCAAATTCTTAGAAAATAACGCTGGTCAGAGCGAGAGAATTCGGTGACCAGGCCTCGCTTGAATATGGATCGACATGCAAAGCAGTCGTGTGCTCAAACTAATTGATGTGCTTTAAACTCATTACGCCCCGCGGGCAGAAGCCCTCAGAACGACTCGTCACCCACCGAGTGCTGTGCTCAAACCACCCGTCCAGCATGTCGCCGAGGTGGTGCGAAGTGCCACCGCCCCACTTCCACAGGCACTTCTCCCTCCATTATCGATCAGAGGTGGCACGGGCATGGCTTCAAAGAAGCCCGGCAGTACCCGAAGGCTGCCGTCGAGGTGCTGCCAAAGCCTCTCCCTAGTGCATCCAAAGAGGTGCCAAATCTCCATACAGGGTGCTAACGACATAGGTACTGCCGGATCCGCTAAACTTCGCCTCCCCTTCGCACGGAAGGGGGCCCGGGGGAACCACGAGGAGGTGGCGGATCACTTCCCCCGGATGGCAGCAAAAGCACCGCTTTCGAAAATACTGTAAGTGCCACAAATCCGCTGAACATGTCTAAATCGGTCTTGGACACTGGAGCTGTCACCACCACATTCAGCAGCGCCCCATGTCACTACAGTTCCGTCAGCTAAAATGGCAGCAAAAGCAGAGTCTGTGCCACAAATCTGCTGGACATTCCTGAGCTGATCCTGGACTCTGGAGCTGTCACCACCATGTTCTGGATCACCCCATGTGACCACGCTTCCATCTGCCAAAATCCCAGCGAAAGCACCATACGTGCCACAAATCCGCTGAACATTCCTGAGCTGGTCGTGTACTCCAGAGCTGTCACCACCACATTCAGGAGCGCCCCATGTCACTACAGTTCCATCTGCTAAAATTGCAGCAAAAGCGTGGTCTGTCCAACAAATCTGCTGAACATTCCTGAGCTGATCCTGGACTCTGGAGCTGTCACCACCACATTCGAAAGCGCCCCAGGTCACCACGCTCCCATCAGCCAAAATTGCAGCAAAAGCAGCGTCTGTGCCACAAACCTGCTGGATGTTTCTGAGCTGATATCTGATGGCTGAGTTGTCGCCACCATTTTGGGAATCGCCCCACGTGACAATTCTGTCACCTCCAACACACCGCAAAGCAAATGCGCTCCGAGTTGCAGCTACCTTTGGCTGCTGTACAACAGCTGTAAGGCTGTCTCCATCTTGAAACCCGTAAAGTTCAAGAGGGTCTGTTGGATCTAAAAGACGTCCATCAGGTGAAGCAAGCCGCAGAAAACGATGCTGCAGAGACTGTTGTGCAGCTCTGTTCAAGTCAGCAATGGTGCCTGATTGTGAGACCGCGACAGTTTCGCACCGCCCACTTGGCAATGAGACCTCCAGTTTGATGGAAGTGTCAGCCGCCTGACTGCTCAAGGGCCTGCTCTCCATGGCACAGCTGCAAAGGAATGCAAGCAAGAAAGGTGAAAAATGAAAAGTCATAAATAACAAATATACGGAGTGATGTTGGAAATATTGGCATTGTGTCCGTCATGATTCTCATCAGCCATTGGAAAAAGTGTGCATAGTATGTATATATATAGTAATTATTATATATATAGTATTATATATATAATTATATAAATGTGTGATATATGGCAAAGTCTGGCATTCTACCCGATCAACTTTCCCGATCCAAGTTTCTCATTTTCGAAACCTCGGAGGTCATTCGGGGGTTCCATACTGAGCAATGGAAAATCCTTGCAGCCAGCCCTAGGCCACGGCTCATGGCTGCAAAAGAAATGGCTTGTGCCCCAGTTCAATGGCCATTTTTTGAGGGGAAAATGATGATTTACCGCTGGAATGTGGGCTGTCCATTTTTGTGTAAAACAGCTCCATATGACTCATATGACCATTGAAGTTGATGATGTCCGAGAATGAAGCGGAAGAATCAAACAGTACAATGAAAGGGAATATATGGCAGTGTGTCAAAACCTTGTACCCCTGGTGAACATCAAAATAGCTGGTAAATGGATGTTCATTCCCCTAAAAATGGTATTAATAGGTATTGATCCATAGCCATATGGAAGATCGATGAGAATGGATACATTAAATCATTTGCCAAAGTCTTGTGCTACCATCAACCCCAAACTGCTCCAGTCTTGGGCAGTTGCAGGACGTGTCATCGTCATATCGATGTGATTCACAAGGAGTTTTGCTTGCCCGTTCTCTTTTCAGTCTGGACTAATCTCAACCCCTCAACCCCGGATTCATAAACCCCTGGCATGTTTCCATCGATTTGTTTTGCCTGTAAAAACTCCACCTTTTGCATGGGCAATTTCACCCCTTTAGTCATCCCTTCGTGGCTTTGCACCATGGTCATGGTCATCCCACATCAACTTGGGGCTGAAAATTGGATACCCTCCGATCAAAAATGGTTGGAACATCCACCATTCAATAGAAATGTCATCATTTTATTAGATATATCATATGTCATACATGTATTTATAAATTTTCCGGGGCAATATCATGTTATTAGAAATATCTATAGATGTGTTTTTCCCAGATGATTTTGCCCCTTTTCAAACGGCCCAAAATCGAAAACCGGCCCCGTGATGTTCACCATCCTGAAATTCTGGGCTTTCCCAACGAGTTCCAAGACGTGCAAGGCTTCGTCACCATGTCGATGTTGCCGCAGGACGTGATTGAACACCATACAGACCTGCACCGGTTGGAACCACGGAATACCACGGACGCGTGTTGGATTGGAAACAATCTGGATCTTTGATGATCTTTGTTTCGTGGCTTAAATTGTACCCAGTTCGGAAAAAATAAGGGTTTCCTGTCAATGCCCAGTTCATCAAATTCTGGGAAGGTGAGATCTGACCAGGGATGAACCATCTTTTTCATGACACACCTTGGGGAACAAAAGTGACAATTCGATCACTACAATAAGTATACATACATGGACTAATATATATATATACACTTATTCATACATATATATATATATACACATACTACAGTAGTATGTTTAAGGATACTTAGCTGATCTATGTATGTATTCGTATATCTATACATATAAATATTATATAACCACTCTATGTGTATATTAATGTTTGTGAATATACATCCAACGGCCATTAAGAACCTCCTCAGCCAGTTGTTTCTTGGACTTGGCAGTCTTGGCGAAGCGTCCTGAAAAACGGAGAAAACCCGACGAGAAAACGGAGATCATCGGAGATCGGTCTCAGCGAATCTGCCTGGTTTATCCAACATTGATATCAATGATTTGGTTGATTAATCCAGGACAATACCAAATCAATGATATCTGTTTGTTGGATAACCAGGCAGTGATATTAGACTGGCTTGATCTAATCATTGATATCATTGATTCATCCAGGATAAATAATAGATTGACAAATACTAATAATGGATGACATTGATCCTAATACAAGAGAATGACAGTGGACATATAGCTGATCAATGGTATCGTGTTATAATTCTGAACATTTCTGGATCATGGAATATGAACATGAAAGGACCATTGGAGAAACGGCGAAACATATGGTGCCATTGATCATCCTTCGGTTTTCGGTGCTGGCAGTTCAGCGGCTTCCTCGGCATTCTTCCTCAAAAGCTTCCCACTCTTGGTTGAAAAGATCCCTGGCTTGTTGCTCCTTGGCGCAAGGCTCGTGCAGCTAGGTTGGCGGTCCAGGGATTGTTCAGAAGCAAGGACGAAGTCAACTTCCATCACTGTTTCAAAATATGCGAACGATCTTCAGGAAAGCAGGAAACCATCGGGAAACTATCCCAAAGGAAGAGGTTTCCCACATTGTTTATCCATGTGTATCCCAACTCACCAGCTTCATGGGGATGTGTGCCCCAAACGCCAGGTCACTGCAATGCTTTGAGAGGCTTCCACCTCACAGCTGTCGTGGTTTTCTTGGTAAACCCAATGATGGCAGGGATTTATATAACCAACAAAACATCAAATATCATGGGGGGGGTACACTCACTAAGAACAATAGTACTGATAATAGGGATTTATCGGATTTAAGTACCAAAGGAGTTGGACATGATAGGGGATTTCAGTGGATTTAAGCAACAATATACTCTGGGATGTTCTGGTAAAGTCAATGACATAAACCCATGTTTTAACTTTGGGATACTTTTGGGGTATGGTGGTTAACACTTCCAAAGTGGCAAAATGGGTACATTGCGGATGTCCCAAAGTGACTTCATTTAAAGGACTGCTTTGCAGCCATAGTCAGATTTGTGTATCTTCCGCATCCGTCCATCTATATTTGATGATACACAATGATACACAAATTAAAATATCCATCTGACATCATCTATGTATATTATATATACAATTATTATATATGCATTCCTATATTATATTCTATATATATATAATTATATATATACACATGCCATTAAGTACATGACAAGTTCACACTTCACCGCTGACTACACGTCAAGTCGTCTCACCTGCCATAGCTCTTCGATGGTCTTCTTGAAGTGTACCTGCGATCAGTGATCAGCGAGGCTATGCTGATGAAGATGTGTAGAGAATGTAAGTGGTAGAGGGTAGACTGGGCCAGTCAGACTGAGTAAACTTCTAGTACAAGAAAAATCATGTCTATTTAGTCTATATACTGCTCCATTTCGACATGCGATAGTTGGGATCAATGATTGCCTAAAACATGTGCAGGGGTGTAGTGAATAGCATGTGCACTTTTGTCCAGACATCCACAGTGCTTGCCCACCAAACACTGGGCCAGAAGGGAATGGGTGAATGCAGCAAATCGATCGAAATGTGCATGAGTTTCAACTGTAGGATCTTCCTGTGGTACATGTGGCTTTGTCTGAACATGTCGGGGAAACCAAATTTGATGCTTGATCACCAGTTTTCACCAGTTTTCACCAGTTTCGCATGAAGTTTGCCCGACGCCTTCAAGGCCCTCAACTGATCTCGATCGACAGCATCCGCCAAACACAGGGACCACGTGTATCGCGTCAGTTCGCCCTGAGGTCTTTGAGGTCGGTGACAAAATTCCCCATTACTTCGATGATTTGGCCATTCAAACAGATATAAACATCTTAAACCCTTTATTTCAAGTGGATTTCAAATTACCACATTTGATTACCAGAGGGTATGGTCCATTTCTAAAGGCCCAAAGCCCAAATGAATCTGAATTGGTCAGTGGTTGTGGGGAAAACCATGGGATCTGGCCACCGACAGGTCCACCATGAACCATCGATTTGGTGGCTTAGTGTGCCCCAATTTTCGTCCAAGACCCCCAACCCCCACCCAAGTCCTGGTATTCAATGGGAGTGCTGAGCTTCTTCTTGGCCTCCTCCTGGTGAACAAAACGCCGACGATTGACTTTTCATTGAGAGTTGTGCCCTATCGCGGGGGGATTTCTGGACTTTCCGATGTTGGATGTTCTCAAAACACTTCAGGTGAGACTGCCTCTCCACAATCTGCCATCAGGGCACCAAAAAGTCCGTTTGCGAAAAAAAAAATGGAGCACCTGGGTTGTGATACTCCGAAAACATGCGCTTGCCATACTCCGAAAGCATACAACCACTTCAACCACTCCAACCACTCTTAGACGTGTCTCGTGGATGCGGTCTTCTCAGGTTTTATTGCACCTTGTCTAGTCTTCTAATCCCATCACCCTAGTATTAAACACCCATAAACACCCCATAAATGGTCCCAATTATGTGGAAATTCCCTACTAAACCATGGTTTCGTTTAGGGGGTGTTTAATATTAGGGGGAAGGGATTATATGTACCCAATCTATCCCAATCTTCAGGATCGCCGCAACCTGGTTCCACTGGCCCCAGCTCCTTTTGTGCATCTGGCAGCTTTGATTTGCGAGACTGGCGATGTGCCGGCGGCCCGCTAGGCTATGTTGGTGAACCCACGAGAGCAAGGAATCCATGATCCCAACCACCAGCCATTCGACACAGGAGGGGCCTTGAAGACACGCTCCAACTCGGCTTTTGCGCGCCTGGCCGAGGGGCTGCTGAACAGATTTCCAGACTTGATGTAATGAATGTCCACATCGGTGCATAAACAGGTCAGCATCCACTTGTCACAGGTTTCCAGGATCGCTTGTAGCGACGACCTGGCGGCATGCTGTTTGCTAGACCCCTTTCCTTGCAAAGACCTGCCCGTGTGATGTGTGTTTGCCTTTGCCTGAACCAACAGGCTCGACTCGTGCACACCGTACTTGGGCCATGGTGCCGGTACAAATCTCATTCCATGCTTCTTGCCATGTCAACTCCATCCAAAATTGGGGCAGCGCCTTCAACACTTTTGCCCAGGCACTTCCCCCATCATTCATGTCCATACACCCATTATTTTCCCATTTACTTCGATGATTTCCCATGTCAAAAACCCCTGGTGGATGTCGGGATTCAGCTGGTCACCGCTCCCACCTGAATTCGGCATCGACCTTCTCACCACTCTGGCCCTCACTGAGGCGTTGCTTGAAGCTCTCCAACAAGGTCTGTCACGCAACCACTGGTTGGACCGGTCAGGTCTCGTTGGGACGAAATCCCAGGGGACCCAACCAATGGCTTACATCCCAGGGAATCTCTGCAGCATCCTGAAAAAACCAATGAAACAATGGCTAAATCCCGAAAATGGCTTCATGTTTCATGATTTATGATTTATGATTCATCTACTATATCTATTTTGAACATGATTTAAGGAACTAAAGATAGATTCATCCAATGATTCATGATGCCCATCCCCCAAGAACTGGCTTCATCTAATCCATCTTTTGACGCAAACGTGAGGGCCTCAGGATGCTGATGTTTGTGCTGCGGCTGTCCCGAAAAATCAACCGTCCCATTCAAACAACCCCCATCCGAGTGAAATTCGAACCATCCCATTCAACCCAACTAAATTGAAGTATAAGATAGTATAAGTATATATATATAACTATATATATATAACTATATATATATCATATATATCATATATCATATATATATACATACATCAAATGAAACATTCAAAACATCCCATGGAGATCCCATGAAAATTTATGCTGTATCCAAGAAAATTCCCATCGCCCGTGAGGAAATGACTCCCCTTAAATAAACATAAATAAACCATGTTTCTTGGTGAAATCAGCCTCAAATCCCTTAAAAAGTCCCCTTAAAAAGTCCCATTAAACAGCCGAAAAACAATCTATGATAATCATTAATCATCTATACCTATATAATCTATAAATCATAGATTATATATATATAGGTGGTTTAATGGGACTTTTGAAGGGGAATAATCCCTTTAAAAAACCTATTAATCCTTGGTGAAATCTGAACAGCTGGCCGTTCAAAGCCTGGCATTCCTCCGCCAGGCCGCCCTTGCCCCGGACCAAGGCGGAGGAGATCTGCTTGGCGGAGTCCTGAGGAAAAATGTGGCGCCTTAGATGGGCATAGAAATAAGAAAATATGGGGGTTTTAATGGGTGTTGATATATGTTTTTTGATACATATATATATACATACATACATATATAATATGCAATATATATATATATTTATTTAATATTTTATAATTATATATATATACATATATCAACCATATGTTTTAACAAAATGGTTTCACTAAGCAAATATACGTATGGATATGTGTATCATTTGGACATCATATAACCTAAGGAAAATATGGGCATGCTGAACTTCATATCACCTGAAAATTCATGGTATAAATAGATACTAAACTTCAAATGGGTGTAAAAACTACAAGGTTGGTAAAAAGGTCGCTTCAAATGGGTACTTGGAAAAGTTTAATTTAGGGCTGCTGAAATTGAAGATGCTGAACTTCAGTGTCTCACAGTTTCCACATGTTTCCACTGATCCACCATTCCAAATCCTCACATCTTCCGAAGGATCGGTCCTCTAACTCGCGTTGCAGTTCGATCTCTTGGATGGTCTTGTAATGGAGCAGATTTGGACCTCATGCTGGCACCCAGAATGTGCGGACATGGGTCTGAAAATTGGCTATCCACTGGTGAATCAGCATGTTCCGTCTAAAAATGTGGCGTCTCGTTCCCAGCTGAATCGACACCTGCCGCTTCCCCTGGGTCAACGGCCATATCTATCCAAAACGCGCCAAACAGACATCGCATGGAGGCACCTCAGCCAGAAATTTAAGGGAAGGTCTCATCGTTTACCTCATGTTTAAGTACCGCTTCTGAAACCCAATGGCCCCCATGTTTCCTGCCGCCAGAGCTCCCCTGGCTCAGATAGGGTCAAACAACCCAAAGGGGAATGTCATCCCAATGAAAACTCCTCCATTTGATGAGTCCAGCGATTTTCCGAAAATTGTTTCCCCTCTAAAACATCAGGGGGTTCCCATTTGGTTGCACCATGCATTGCCCAAGATTTATGGCCTAAAATGTGTCCAAAAATCTGGACCCCAAATCTGCTGAAAAAACATCAAGTTCTCCTCAAGATGACCGTTTTTTTCAGGCACATGCCTATCATGTTAAGTTGGATAAATATCACATAGAACATCCCATTGTTTTCAGATATCCCTTTTTGAATATCCCCATCATATCCCTTTGTGTTCCAAGTTACATCCCCGTGTTTGATCGTAATTCTCCCATTATTAAGTTGGTTGTATGACATATCCCCGTTGCATCCATTGACATTGATCATCCGTCTCCTTATTATTCGATGGCCATCAATAGTTGATTTGTTTCAGCACATGAACCATTAAACCCCATTAATTCCTATTATCCTATGGTTCTATACCAATGAGGTCAACAATCACCATATGATAAAACCCATGCGCATCCCTTTCCAACAGTTGGCCAAGGCTCCAATCGGGCAGGGTGGAAAACTCCGGTGCCGACTCGCAGTTCTGCAACTGATCTGCCTGTGGCCGCAGCCGAGGCGCGTGTGCAACAACGTGTGTTGTGTGATGCTTATATAAATGGTAATGATGTGGATAAAATGGAATATAAACTACCATGGTTCGTCATCATATTCCATGCAAGAAACTGCTGCGCGTTGGGTCTATCCCAAAAAAAAAATGTCATGCAAATCTAGACCGAAAAAAATGGATATGTTGGATCTCATTGGTGGTTTTTATGCTTGACATTTGCATCAACCTTTTAGAAATGTTCAATGACTTGTACGTTAAATGTGAGGTCACACCTACGTTTTTTGACACGTCAGCGGGATTCCACTCCAATTCGCAAAGTGACGCAACCCAGCGCTCTCAGCTGGGACAATGTCCCTCCTACTTGGATGTGCCGTGTTTGGTACGTGGCTATCTATATGAGGGGTTCCTTAAGTCATGGGGGATCTCCAAGTCGCCATTGGGTTTCAATACTACTGGAGGTCACGGTTTAACTGGATGATGACTGGGGGTACCCTCATGACTTAGAACACCTCCATATGCAGGCAGAGTAACAATGCAGATAGACATGGGATGGCTCTCTGTTCACATCCAAGTCACTGGGAATTATGGGTGTGCATCCCCGCCCAAAATATGGTATATAACCATCATTAAACCCAGTTAGACTGCCATGAAACCACCACTGTTCATCAATCCCTATGTCGTGATCGGAATGACCTGGCCCAAAAAAAATGTGGATTATCCTGGTGTTCGACTCTGGGATGCCCAAAAAGTAAAGGTTCACATAGCGGAAATCCATTGGTTTATGTGGAAATGATCTACATTCCTGTCCCCAACTTTCATGGCTTCTCAAGGTGGGGGGCCCAAACGATGGCTATACAAGTTGCTTCAGTTCACAGTTCTTAAGTTATGGCAACTATGGTAGATATACCTACAGATATCTATGGATTCCTACAGGCCTTTATCAACCAACACACATCCCGAACAAAGGGGGGCCAGCAAAGAACTCCTTGCGTCATAACCAACAAGGCTATAACTTGAATTATCAATCAATCATAATGAATCAGATATCCACTTATATCCCCATAGGTTGAAGGTTGAAATCCCTATTGAATGACTGAACCAATCATATATAGGGTTTTGATAAAAGCTATATGGATTATATGTATATATATATTCCTGTATCATGACCAATGGTTAAAATCCATGACCTATTAGATCCAATATTCAATTTATGGGTTGATGTCAGTATATTCCCCTTTCTGTATATATGTCCATATTGATCATCAACCAATAGATTCAATATCATCCCCTTTATGTCCAGAAATATCTTCCCTATCTGTTCTAACAATCATCACCATCCAGTTCAAGGAAACTTTCTGGGATCATACCCTATATAGCCTATATATGTTCCCTAAAGTCGGCTCTTTTAAAAAACCGCACCTCTTTAAAGATCTTCCGCCGAAGCTGCATGGCTTCCTGTGCGAAGAGCTCCGTGGACCAACGCACCTGGCGAGAGGGCACAGGGAGGTCACCGTCACCATGGACCTATGAAATATCAATGGGAATTTCATATAAGGTACTGTACAATATGTTTGGCCATATTTTCTGGGGATATTTTCTGGGGATATTTTCTGGGGATATTTTCTGGGGATATTTTCTGGGGATATTCCCTTACATAGGCCTATATTAAATAGGCCTTATATATGGAATCGGTACCTCCAATGAATCGGTTCCTGTTGCATGGCCAGGCTGAAAAGATATTCGCCCTTCGAGGACTTCAGCAGATTTTGCCAAAAATGAGGATTTACCATATCTTACCCTCTGGTAAACGAACATAGCTATTGAAAATGGCCATAGAAATAGTGGATTTACCCATTAAAAATGGTGATTTCCATAGTTATGTTAGTTTACCAGAGGGTAATCTATCAAAAAATAGATGTGAGCCCATTAAAAGTAGGGAACGATACATCAAAAACTCATCAAACATGAGGGGTTCAACGGTTCATCTTTTAAAAGCTTGATGTTGTTCCAATTGAATGGGGGATAAAACCAGTGGTTGGGGTATCATGAAGATAGACTGGGATATCATCGGCAATGTGGGTCTGCTGTTGCCACAAATTGGGGATGCCCGAAATTGCCATGTCAAACAATTCTATTGGGAATGGTAATATGTATTTATATATATATGTGTATATGTGTATAAATGTATATAAATATTATATATATATATGTATATAAATCCATTGTAATCCTTTGGAAATTGGGGGTACCCGGGTACCCCATTTTCAGAGCTGAACGACAACTATAAAGCAGGCTTGGATTGGAAATTCATGGGCAACCCCAGATTTGACGGGTGAAATCCCTATGTTTTGCTATAGTTCTTCCCTTGAAAACCGGCCGAGACCATCCTGGTCATCCTGGTCCCACCATGTCCCACCTCCCGGCCAGTATGGTCCAGGTCGCTGGCAAAGGCTGAAGGAAGCAGGAAAACACCTGGCATCGTTGCTTCCTGGTTTCATAGTTTGGTCCCCATGATTCTCCCTACATGGCTACATGGCGGGATCTGATCATGGCGTGAATCTATCTACGTCATGAAACACTGAAACACTGAGGGGGATTCTTCGATAGTCTGAGATCTGATCATGTGTGAAATCATGTAAGTAGGTCTTTCTTCAAGGTCAAGCTGACCAAGGAATTGGTGAATTCCGTTTGTTGCAATTGGATTCCAAATGATTCCAAGGTAACCCGCTTGCAGCAATGAAAATCCCAAGAATGCTCATCTCGGGTCTACTAGCATTCCTTCCAGACTGTACCATTGACTTGGCTGCAGATTTCAACTACTTGAGGATAACGTGTTTCAGGAATCTAACTCAAGAAGAACATAGAAGAACAATCAAATGGATGTGCCTGTTTGACATCCGGAACCATTTCTGAATATTCCCTCCATTTGATCATCCTGTGAAATTCATCCAAAGATTTGAAAGAACGGCAAATGTGTTCTGAAACTATAAAATCCAAGGAAATATCTAAAACTAAATCGATTGAAACCTGCCACACCCGAGAATCAGTGGAAAAAAATTGAGGATGACACTGCCAGGATCCAGTGAAATGAGTTCGTCCAGGCCTAAGAGCTTTAAGAGCTTTGGGCTGATCGATCATGTGAGGATATGATCCAATATACTGGCGACGATTATGAAAAATGAGGATATAATAGGATATAATAGGATATGAGAAAAATGAACAGATTGTTTGATGGTTGTTGTATCTTTTTGGGGTAGCACAAGCCATGAACTCCACCGAAAACCGGAGATGGGATTGTCCAGCCCAGCTGATGACAGCGGAATGTTTTATGGGACACAGGCCATCTTGAAATCCCAGTAATTCCTATAAGATCCTTGGTTAACTCATTGATAAATCAGCAGTTTCCCATATGTTGGCCCTTGGAATCCCAGTTTATCCCCATTATACCCCCACGACATACCATTAAATTCTCCTTATATCCCAATTGTATCCCATTTTTGATGACACTGGAGAATTATTCTACTAATAATAATCCATGATATTCCTATTCTATCCCCATTATACCACCATTGTTGTTGGTTCAATCCCGATTTCTTCATCGTTCAACCCACCATGAATCGCTATCTATCTATCTAATTAATCTAATATATATATATATATAATCTGATCTAATCTAATCTAATCTATTCTAATCTATTCAAATCTAATCTAATCTAATCTATTCTAATCTAATCTAATCTAATCTGATCTAATCTAATCTAATCTGATCTAATCTAATCTAATCTATTCTAATCTAATCTAATCTAATCTATTCTAATCTGATCTATTCTAATCTAATCTAATCTGATCTGATCTAATCTAATCTATTCTAATCTAATCTATTCTAATCTAATCTAATCTAATCTGATCTGATCTAATCTAATCTAATCTATTCTAATCTAATCTATTCTAATCTAATCTAATCTGATCTAATCTAATCTAATCTATTCTAATCTAATCTATTCTAATCTAATCTAATCTGATCTGATCTAATCTAATCTAATCTAATCTATTCTAATCTATTCTAATCTAATCTATTCTAATCTAATCTAATCTAATCTAGTCTGATCTAATCTAATCTAATCTAAGCTATTCTAATCTAATCTATTCTAATCTAATCTAATCTGATCTGATCTAATCTAATCTAATCTAATCTATTCTAATCTATTCTAATCTAATCTAATCTAATCTGATCTGATCTAATCTAATCTATTCTAATCTAATCTATTCTAATCCAATCTAATCCAATCTAATCTGATCTAATCTAATCTAATCTATTCTAATCTAATCTATTCTAATCTAATCTAATCTAATCTGATCTAATCTAATCTGATCTAATCTAATCTAATCTATTCTAATCTAATCTATTCTAATCTAATCTAATCTAATCTATTCTGATCTAATCTAATCTAATCTGATCTAATCTAATCTAATCTATTCTAATCTAGTCTAATCTAATCTGATCTAATCTAATCTAATCTGATCTAATCTGATCTGATCTAATCTAATCTAATCTAATCTATTCTAATCTAATCTATTCTAATCTAATCTAATCTGATCTGATCTAATCTAATCTAATCTATTCTAATCTAATCTAATCTATTCTAATCTAATCTAATCTGATCTAATCTAATCTAATCTATTCTAATCTAATCTATTCTAATCTGATCTAATCTAATCTGATCTAATCTAATCTAATCTGTTCTAATCTAATCTAATCTGATCTAATCTGATCTAATCTGATCTAATCTGATCTAATCTAATCTGATCTAATCTAATCTAATCTAATCTAATCTAATCTAATCTGATCTAATCTAATCTATTCTAATCTAATCTAATCTAATCTAATCTGATCTAATCTAATCTATTCTAATCTCATCTAATCTATTCTAATCTAATCTAATCTGATCTAATCTAATCTAATCTGATCTGATCTGATCTGATCTAATCTAATCTATCCATCCTAGACTAAGTTCCATTAAAAATCCCATTCAAAATCCCATGAAATCAACCTTTTTGACGATCAAAATCCATGATGAAATCGGTGATGATCACCCCTGAGCTGCCGCGCGCAAGGCCAGTTGCAAGGACGCTTCGGCCAGGTGTTTGCGCATCAGCCGCAGTGCGTCCCCGTGGACCGCCTGTGACCTGGGACGAACGGGACAATCTGTGGACAGATCTGGGAAAAAAATTGGGAAAAATCTGGAAAAAATCTGGGAAAACTGTGGGAACATCAGGGAAAATCTGGGAAAACTGTGGGAAAAATCTGGAAAAATGTGGGAAACATGTGGAAAAATGTGGAAAATTGCGGTAAAAATCTGGGCAACATCTGGGAAAACTGTGGGAAAAATCTGGAAAAATGTGGGAAATATGTGGAAAATTGCAGGAAAAATGTGTGGAAAAACCTTTTAACAAACATGGAAAAATGGATTTCTTTGAAAATCTACAAGAAACCATGGATTTTGATCATTTCAGCCCAATTTTTTGTTGAGTCCTGTAGATTTTCCCTTGAACCTCCGGGAACGTCAAAAGGTGGACGCATTCACGAATATTTACTGGAATATACCGTAGGCGTAATTTTTGGTGCAATGTCTACTTAACTATCTTTGTAAATTAACAAACTCGCGATTTACTTATTTGATGTTATTTGTCTTTGTTGTAAAAGTGATCTTGGGATGGATTCCATCATATTCCGCCTATAAGATGAGAAACGGTGAGAAATGGCATGGATCTGCACCGTCCCTGGGCCAAAGCACCGGTCGTGCTGGTCCCTGAGTACGAAGAGCAACTTGGGCTGGATGCGACACACCTGTCGGCCCGCATAGCATCCGGAATTCATGGGGTGCAGTCGGGATTAAGAATTATCAATGCGGATTGATTAGTAAATCATGAATGATGGTCCATGGCTATATAATAATGGTTATTGATGGCCAGGGACCTACAAATCTTGGTGAATGGGAAATCAAATCAATGAGAATCTAGTGAAACAATTGGGATTGGAAGGCCATGTTCGGCCACAGATTCCCATGACGCAACTGCTCCCCGAAAGATGTCTCTTCAACCTGTCTGTTCGTAGCATCGCATTCTTGATTGGAAAAAAACAATAAATCATCACTGTTTCGGTCGCAGAAAACACATGGTGTGTCGTCCCTTACAATTCGCAGATGGTATCTTTGACCCAAGGCCCTAAGGGCAGATATCTCCAGATGTCACAAATGTCACATGTGTGCCTTAAGGTGCTGCATGGCGAAAAGGCAAACCTGCACAATTTGGGCACCCACCGGGGTTCGGCGGGATTGATGGAGATAAAAGATATCCCGGAAAAATAGAAAAACGCCGACCCAGGGAACCAGAGGGAGCGCGCCAGAGAAGCAATGCCAGACGGAGAGGTGCAGTTAAGGGGAAGAACGAGAAGATTTGAAGGAAATGCAGAGGTTCAGTGATTCAGTGGAGTGTGATGACAGAAGAGTAGGTTTGTGAACAGGAAGGTGGTGAAGAAATGCGGAAGAGAGGAAAACGAAAGCAGCTGCCATGCAAGAGCAAGAAACAGCAAGAGGCAAGAGAAAGAAGCGGACAAAAGAAGAAAGTAAGCTGCAAGAGCAAGCTAGAGATGAGAGGGAAGAAGAAAGCAAGCAGCAATGGCAAGCAAAAAGAAAAAGAAGAAGAAGGAAGAGGCCAAAGAAAGAAGCGGACAAAAGAAGAAAACAAGCTGCAAGAGCAAGATGTGGAAGAAGGAAGCAAGCCGCAAGGGCAAGAAGCAGTAAAGAGCAAGAGAAATAAATACACGAAAGAAGAAAGGAAGCCGCAAGAGGAAGCCATATAAAGGATGGAGCAGGAAAGCAAGCTGCAACAGCAAGGAGCTAGAAGCTATAAAGGAAGAAGAAGAAGAAGAAGAAGAGCGAGAGCAAGAAGCTAGAAAGCAACAAAGCAAGACATTTTGGAGCTAGTTTCAGAAGGTGAAGCTAACTCTTACAGTGCCTCTCCACCTCCCTTTGCTCCTTCCCTTCCCCCTGGCCGGTGGCCGGCTGTGAGGGGTAAGCCTTTAAATATCCCGGAAAAACTTGAGGAATTGAGGAAACCATGGAAATCCCTCAATTTGTCCAAAACTCACCACAAAACCTACTAAACGACCAGTTTAGTTGCTATGAAATTGAAATTCCGTGGTGAATCTCTGCTCAATCAGCCACAAGCAGCTCAACATCTACAGTACCCTCCAGTAAATCTACATAGCTCTGGAAAATCCACTAGAAATATAGATTTTCCACATATCCTCCTGTAGTCAAACAGGGCGTACTCTGGAAAATCCCCGACATACTTTCCCAGCAACCTTCATTTAGTTCGGGGAGCTCCCAGCCACGTTTGATTACCAAAGGCTAATCCCATGAATAATCATTGATCATTCATCACCACGATAATCACCATTAATCACCACTACAATTTAGGGCTTGTATATTTATATATTCCCATGAACCATCTTAAGAGTCTTAGATCATCTTAGTTTACTGGAAAAACTCATGTTTTTCCATCCCGCTCTTTTTTTTTGGCTCCTCCAGGAGATCTTGTAGCTGTCGCGACAGCTCGCCCTTGTGGTTGATGATCACCTCAGTTGATCATATCTCAGTTGCTCATACAGAATCTCACTGTTCATATCACCATGATTGATGTTCCCAATTACATGGGGAAAGCCACAGAATCATTGCCTATACCTAAAACCCCATCCAAAATAAATCCCTAAAAAATCCTGAAAAAATCCCTAGCTCGTTTTTCTCTGTAAAAATTCCCCCAGTCATAGGGTAATTTCTGACATACCCTTTGGTAATTTAACATAGCTATGGAAAATCACCATTTTTGATGGGAAAATCCACTATTTCTATGGCCATTTTCAATAGCTATGTTAAATTACCAGAGGGTAACTTCACCCGTCCCCATTGATGTTCCGAACCCAGCGGCCAGGTGTGAACAAGCCATGGCCATCAGCGCCAGCTGAGCGTCAAAGATTCCACCACCTTCGGCCTCGAAATTCACGGGGCCTTTTTTAAACATGGTGAAATCAGGATGACCCGTGATATAGTGATTATTAATCATGGTGAAGGTCAATGGAAATCACTATTAATCACTATTAATCATGGTTAATCACTATATTTGGCAACCCCCCCCCAAAAAAAAAAAATGAATGGAATGGAAAATCCTGACATAACGGTGAATTGCTGTTCTATCATGTTCTATCTGTTTTGTGGCGGGGGTACATGTTTTGAAAAATGTCCCTCCCGAATTCGAAGAGTTGCTCCCAAGACCCCAGATACCAAGGGAAAAAGTCGGCTACATAACGAAGAGGTAAAATCAATTAAAATCACCTATTTCCCGCCCTTGTCAACGGAGCAACCTTGATTCCGTTGAAGAAATGCCATACCCATACAATCCCTTCCCCCCACTGGCGGAATTTAGTGGGTCGAATCGTTCTAGGACCCATTTTGGAGTTGAGTACTCGCAAAAAGGGATTCGATTAACAATGATTAACGGATTAAAGAAGGGTAAACATGTAAACATGCACATGTTGTGTCCCAAAAAATAATCAGAGAATCATGCCACCAAAGCAGATAGAAAATATCTCAAGACAAACATCTTTGCGAAGCAACGTCTTCCATATCGCCCAAGCACCGAGGACTGCACTTCCAAACTCATGAGACCTTCCGTGTCAAGAATCAACAGCCTGGCGTGGTGTTGCCAGGAAAGGACATCCTGCCATGACATCATGATATGTCTTTTGGAGACCATTTCATATGTTTCATGCTCAGGAACTTGCCGAAAGCCGATTCTTTGGGAGCAAAGAGTGCGATTCACTTTGGCATCCTCGGCATCCTCGGCACAAGATGTCCCTCTGTTTTGATCCTCGAAGATCACAACTGAGCCGATGCCACGTCCTTTTCTCGCACTCCATGAGAGAGCAATAGAGACCTCGTCAGCATTTTTTTGGCTTCCCTGTAAAGACTGTGACGGGTTTCCGCAACAGCAACTGCAAGCCTTTTGATCTAAGCACTACCATCACTACCATTAAAGTGCCACAGTGGTCAGTTGGAGTTGAAAGCAAAACCCTTCATGTCGAACCTCGAGTGCATCGCCCAGCCGAGGTTGCGAAGCCGCAACCGAAGAGGAAATTCATCAAGGTACTCTTGGCCTTGGAAGTTCCACCAGTCAACTCACCGAAGAAAAATTTCAATCACTATAGGGGCCATGGAGTTTTTGGGGCAGCCACACAACCAAACATTCTGAGGATATTGAGGATGTCGAATCTATATCACCAACATCTATCAACTACAGTATCTGGAGGAATTCTCTGGGGATACCAACCAACACTTAATTTGGGGTTTTAGTATAGCAGAAATTACACGTATGTAAACTTATGGGAATATTTAGGTCTGGATTCACAATGCAGGTGGGTTTGAAAATGCATGGTTTTAACAATCAATAATCAACTCTTATATCACGGGCAAAGGAAACGGCAAATCTATGTATGTATATACAGTATATACATATATATATATATAGATATATACTGTATGTGTATGTATATATATATATATGTGGGTTTATGCCACGAAGAGATTTTTGTTTGAAGTTCTTCTTGCGGATGTGGGAGCCAGGGTAGAGTGTAGTGGCCCAAAGCAACCTGTTTGGTTCTCAGTTCATCACCTTCAGGGCCGTAATTCACTGGGGGAATACACCAGTGAAATAGTGATCCTAGTGTGCTGAAATAGTAAGTGATCATTCACTGTTCATCACTGTTCTACCTTTTTTGGGCCTAGATCATCTATCTATCTATCTATCTATCTATCTATCTATCTATCTATCTATCTATCTATCTATCTATCTATATATATGTATATTATATATATATATATGTATATTATATATATATATGTATGTATGTATGTATGCATATATATATGTATATGTATATATAATATATTGAACGATTCCATAAATCATGGGACACCAGGATCTCCCATGGATCAGGATCCCCAGGGGCCCCAGGGGCCCCAGGGGCCCCAGGCCGAACTCTGGATGCCGATGACCGAAACCACGAAGAGTTCCCGGTGGTACTGACTTCCCAGGTCCTGAGGCCAGGATATACAAGGGATATGTAGGGGATATATACATATAATATGATATATAATATATATATATACTGGTTGGTGGTTTCAACCCCTCTGAAAAATATTATGGGAAGGATTATCCCATACACTATGGAAAATAAAAAATGTGTGAAACCACCAATCAGTGTATATATATATATATCTACAAGGGATGTATTGCCCTATGAAATATTTTACATCAGATTTGACATGTGGGATTCACCGAATGCCATAAACCTCCAAGTTTGGAGGGTTTTTCTGGCACCCAGAAATCTGGCGATATGATACTTTGTGGCATTGGGTTTATCACATTATATGGAACATATTAGCCTATGTAATGTGTTCAATGTGTTCTCAAAAATTTGAGAAATGGAAAGTTGGCAAATATATGGAAAATAAATGGAATAATGTGGATACATTTGTGGAATTCAATGGAATAATGTGGATACGAGCTGAATTTGTCATCTTTTTGGCCGTTCCAAGGTCAATACTGGCCTTGAGCACCTCCACCAAGAACTGGCCAGCACCTGACAGTCACAGAGTATGGCTGGCATACGCGGTTGTTTTAAAGCCTTGTTGTTCCCATCAAACATGGCTATATGACAGCTATATGAAGAATTTCATGGGGGCCATGTGACAATTCAAATAGATTCAAATCATCTTGTGGCTTTCATAACCGATTCGATCCCACTGAAATTGGTAAAAATCGGCCGCCATGGCGCATTGCAGAGGCGATCCAAAGAGCAACTGCACCGGGCAGTTCAGCGTCCAGGCCTGGCCAAAGGCGGCCGGATCGAGCCCGGTTGAGCCATCTGCAAGCTAAAGAAACAGAAAAATCCATCAACTGAGTTGGTGTTTCTGCTTTCTACAAGTTGTTCTTCCCGAAAAAATCGAAGAGATGGCCATAAATTGTCCCTTCCAGCCATTCTGGCGCCCCAAAAATTCTCCAGCAGAGTCCGGAGTTGACTGGGAAATCCCCGAACTAAATGGAGGTTTAGTTCGCTGAGAAAATCATCTATAAATCATCAACTGAGTGGCTTCAGGGATTTCATTCATCAGAAACCATGGTTTCTGCCATTCAAAGAGGGTTTCATCTGCCCCCCCCCCCGGCAATCCAACATGGAAGTGGAGAATCGCGCATGTCTAGATCCTCGACCTATTGAAAGAAACTATCCATTGCCAGGTCACCGGTAGCTTTTCCAACCATGACCCCCAAAATTGGATCAGAAAAGTCGGCAGCAAACCACTAACCGTATAACCCGATGAGATCTATAAGCATCCCCCAACCAGGGGTATCTCCAGCCATCAGCTGGAAGAAACTGGGCCAGCTGTGCCCATTGTGCATAGAGACTCTTCAGAGTTCGAGTGTCTGGCAGCTCGTGTGGAATGCGCAGACCCAGACCTGTGCCACACACGCGAAGTCAACCCCCAAGATCAGGAGGTTGAAGGGAAACGTACAGACAAATATGCTTTTTGGGGCCTCAATTAGGGGTCCTATAAAGTTTCCCTCTTGTCATACGGCAAAGGTCCACTTTTGACTGGGATTTCGCCCCAGAATCTCCCTTCTGGGGCACCATACTCCATGTTCTGTTCCAAACGTCATGGAACATGTTGGGATACATGATACCAAAACAAAACATATCATTCCAGTAAGGCTACACCTGGTCACCAGCCAAAAAGCCAGACATTCCCCTAGAGGTTTCCCATCATTTTCCCATGCCTTGCATCTCTTGGCTCAGGTCGCTGATGGCCGCTACCTCTTGATTTTTTCATGTTCATCACTGTTTTTTTGAAGTTGTTTAATTGAAATATTACAGGAAACCCTGGTTTCGACGGCTGATAAATGTTCGGATTTCGTGATGGTTTTCCCTTAAACCAATTTCGGGATATGGGGGTGAAGAGGACAACCGGGATGAAACAAGGGATTAAAATGGATGGATAGGGATCGCAGCTGTCTTGTCTTAGGTTGGTATGTCTAATACATGTCAATATAATGTTCTACATGACGCTTCCTTGAAAAGCTACATCATGGGCACAACAGTTATGATATAGAGAAAAAAGTATGATGATTACATATTGTTTGCAACAATGTGTGTATATACATATATACATATATATATACATATATATATATACATACATACATATATATACATACATTTATATGTATATACATATACATTTACATATATATGTATGTATATATATACATATATATGTAAATGTATATGTATATACATATAAATGTATGTATGTATATATATATACATATACATATATATACATATATATATATAAATACATGTATATATATATACATATATATGTATATGTATATATACATACATACATATAAATATATACGTGTATATATATACATATATATATACATATAGATACATACATCTATATATATGTATATATATATATATATGTACTGTATATTTATATATATACATATATTCATATATATATATATATGTGTGTAAAAATCCAAATTATGCTACTCATCTATCCATCGATGTCTACAGCTGGAAAAATGTCTGTGTCGCGAAGCTGCACCTCTTCCCAAAAGGTGTCCAAGGTGATGCTGAGCTGCTCAGAAGCCTGGCTGATTTTTTTTGGCTATGGAGACATGTGGACCATGTGGATACAGTATATAATTGTACATGTGGATATACATATATATATTGTCAATGCAACTGCCCACAACAGCCCAACCTCTAGCACGCTCGGATTCATTTCTTTTCTCCAAAAGGCATATGTATCCGGAGACCTTCTGAGATCACAACGATGGGTGCAAGATGTTCCAAACCATAGGCAAATGCATGTGTGTTCACTCAAGCAGTCAATTGGCAAAGTGTGGCTGCGCAACAAGTCAGATCCTGGGATCAGTGGTTTTACCTGGATCTCTCAAATTGTCACAGCTTTCACGCAAGGATGTTCACATGTAAAAGCACTTGCTGATGGATCTTGGATATATCAAGCTACAAGCATTGGCCCAACCATCGTTGGAAAAAGTCACACGTGTTCCAAGAAGGAAAGGGATGAAACAAGGGTGGCCCGAGGGCGGGGAGGCTAAAAAACGGCTTGAGGAGAGAAGATTTAATGGGGCTTTGCTGTTCATGTTGCTTTGCAAACCACGCAAGCTTCCACTTGTCAATGCAACTGCCCACAACAGCCCAACCTCTAGCACGCTCGGATTCATTTCTTTTCTCCAAAAGGCATATGTATCCGGAGACCTTCTGAGATCACAACGATGGGTGCAAGATGTTCCAAACCATAGGCAAATGCATGTGTGTTCACTCAAGCAGTCAATTGGCAAAGTGTGGCTGCGCAACAAGTCAGATCCTGGGATCAGTGGTTTTACCTGGATCTCTCAAATTGTCACAGCTTTCACGCAAGGATGTTCACATGTAAAAGCACTTGCTGATGGATCTTGGATATATCAAGCTACAAGCATTGGCCCAACCATCGTTGGAAAAAGTCACACGTGTTCCCATGCCCAAAATGGAAAATTTGCTTTGGGGCTAGCCCCCACGATAATATTGCTTAAGACGCGCAAGCAAAGTTGGCAAGGCTTTGTTTGCATGGTCCCAAACTTGTTGGGGGATCTTGTTCATTTTCAAAAGCAACTGACCAGGTTTTTGGTATCGCTGGATGGATTTGGTTGTCTTCCATCTGCCCCGCGCCATGACTTCGTCACAGGACCTAGTGCGTTGAAGGCAATCGATTGAGGGTCCAGAGTGTCTGATGGCATGGGGCGTGAGCTGGTATTGACCCAGCCCAGCTTTGATGCGTGCTTTACGCATCAGTTTCTCATATTGCGACAAGGTGACGTCCCCAAAAAGTCGAGCTGATGGCCCTTTTGCCCGGCGATATACAAGAGACAAGATATCGGCAGTGTAGGCTCTGTCTTCAGAATTCAAAAGAACAGTATCATCCTGCATTCCGGTTTTTGTCACCTGGTTTCGCTGAGAATTCCCAACGACTACACCCCAATATTGGCACCGTTTGTTGACAGGCTTGAACACATCATCTTTCCGGAGGCGTAAAACCTCGGAAGGCCGGAGATAAGTGTCCAATTGTATCATGACAGCTGCCGCTAATGGTGGGGATTCCTCAGACATGTGCATGGCAATAAGTTGCCATATAGCCGGATCGGCTCCAGTCCTAGATGCCTGTGGATACCTGGAGCTCCAACCTTTCAAGGCTGCCCGGCTATAACTCATCAGTTGCTTATCTGGTCGAGGGTCGTCAGCTCTCAACATTAGGAATCCAAACAGCACATATGTTGCATTGTGATACGATGAGCCCTGTTCACAGAGATCCGCAAAATACTCTGCCATGCGTTTGTCAACATCATCCAGCCGTTTAGGTTTCAGCCTGCGTCTCTTGAGATATTCGTCAAATTGGCAGACTGATTCGTGATATCGGATGAGTGTTTTATCTTGCACTCGCAAAGTCTTCAAATGCTGATGTCTGGGGACAGATCGTCTAATTTCCTCTGCTCTATGCGCTGTGCTCTCGACTGGTTTGCTTTTGCTTTTTCTGGCGCCTCCGCCTCTGGATTGCCTCTTTTGCTGTGTGCTGGCCGAAAACAACGGCCGCTTCCCCTGTTGGGATTTCTTGTCTGAACTGCTGCAAATGGGATCCGAACTGAGAACCGGCAGGTATCTGTTGGCAGCAATTTTTTGCCGCTTTGCTGCAAGTCCACAGCTCATGTTCACATTGCGAGGCAATTGTATCCGTGTCCCTATTCTTACCTACACATAAAGGGGACACTATCTGAGCCCAAAAATTTGCCAATCTGCAAGGATAAGCACCAGCCCGGTGAGCCTTTGGTACCGTGATCACCCTAGCTATTCCATCAGCACTTACAACCTCAACTTTCTCAGAACCACGCAAAACACTCTGGTGCTTCTTGTGGTCACAGGCAGCGGCCAATCTCTTTAGAGGCTCATAGGTAGTGAAAATGCTGGTTGGCTTTTTAAAAGGCTCTCCATACTGGCAAAAATCTAAATCCACTCTATGCACGCCAGGTGCGTGCAACTCATCACGGAGAAAGGGCAATTCAAAAAGCCTAGAATTTCTGGGGTTTTCCAAGCTCCAATGCACATTAAACCGCTTACATGTGGAAATGACTTCTGCTGAAAACATGCCAAGCTCGATTCCTACTCTCTCCCTCTCTCTTGCTCTTACTTGGTTGGAGATGAAATGTCTTGCGCCACTAAAAACTGTGCAAGGGTTTCCTAAGTGAACATATGAAACCCACCCTGCCCTAATGAACGACAGCAAAGCCCGCTGAGAGGCTCGCCTCCTCAAGTCGTGGTGCTCCCCGTTTTGCGCATCGATGGGACGAAGGCAAGCACGCCCACATTCTTTGATTGCTCCTGTCAAGCGGCCAGTGCCGGAAAAGATTTCAAGAAACAAGCCTTTTCGGCCAGTGGGGAATTCTCTAGAGTTGTCACCCGTACTGCTTGCGCTCTGATGCGCGGTGCCGTCACGGGCACCTCCTTCAAGCTGAACTGGTGCAACTTTAAAATCCCGGCTAACCAAAGGAGGGTGTTTCCTACCTACTCTACACTGGGATAGTTGGCTGGCTGCCTTTCGACTCAAAGACTGCTTGCATCCTAATTGGTCAAAACGAGAATCTTTGTCAGCAGGGTTTCTCAAGGTTTCAACATGTCGAAGTCTCCACCTAATTCCAGTCCCCAATTGGTAAGAACAGGCCTGTCTGCAAATGCGATTTAAATGGTAAGAGCTGGAGCGCCCCTTTTCAAGGCTGCACAAAGCAGCAAGATTATCAGTCAGGGTGACCTTAATCTTACCATGCAAACTTCTAACACGCGCAGTCCTACGCAAAGAAGACAAACAAACAGCGCTTTCTTTTTGGTTGATGTGACCCTCCTTTTGACGCCACTTGCGCCTCCAAAGCAGGCTGTACCGATGTCTCTGGCACATGCTATCAGGTATGGGCATGACGAGCGCAGGGACTTCCATCTCTAGCTTTTTCTTGGGTTTGGCTCGCAATTGGGACTTTACCGAACTTGTCTTCAACCAAGATGTGCTATCGCGTTCGGCCTCGATTAACCATTCAGCGTACTGAGTTTTCAAACCGGCTCCAAAAACAGGCATAGATCTGACAAGTGGTTTGATGTGCCCCTCACTCACTTCAGATTCCAGGGCTGACAATGCATCTACAACCTCCTTTCTACTACCCGTGGCCACCGCTTCACGCAGAGGCGCGGGAAGGGGCTGGTATCTCCATGTCTCTCTCCACTTGCAAAGGTGCCGGACTTCCTCCTGAGAGGACCATGTGGTAAGGAGGGCGTATGCTCCCATTGAAGCGTCACCTGCATCCACCTGTTGAATTGGGTCAAACAGAATGTTACACCTAGATAACCAAAGTACACCAAGTGCATTCCGGATTTCCTGTCTGACACAACCCCAAAGCGGGGCTCGCTGGTCTCTGTGTTTCTGGATGAACCGGTAAATGTGAAAGAAAACTGATAAAGCTGAAGGGGTAATCATGAAGGCATATGTGATGTGACCAAGCCATGTTTCGAGCAACTTTACGGAGACTCTCCGTCTACACAACAAGCTACGACCTGCAAAGAAAATCTTCCATAATCTCTTGGGTTTATTTCTGATCACACCGCTTTTGAAATCCAAAATAATCCCTACCGTCTCAAATTCTGCGACTGGCTTCTCGGTCGTCCAGGTCAAGGGGATGTCACAATCAGAAAAGTGCTGGGCCACTTTGTCAGCAGCCGTTGCCACCTCTTCCTGGGTTCGGCCGATGATGCTGATGTTGTCCACATAGACTCCTGTGAGCGGGCCATCACGGATGTCTGGCAAAGGGGTCTTATCGCGAATTTCTCTTGACGGGCTGCTCTGAAGGCCATTGACTATGAAGTTAACACTTTCATTGGCAAAATACAGGCTCCAAGCCCACCCCATACAAAGTCCCCTGAACACGGGATAAACCACCTCATCGCTGTGAACGGACCTAAAGCATTGGGCATCATCATCAAAAATGCTATCAAGAGAAACACCACTACCCCGCCAAAAAGCAACCGTATCAGGACGGTCAATGCCGAACCATGAGGCAAGCTCTTCAGAGTAGTAATTGTAAAAGCAATCATTTACATCAGCTTCAATTCCAAAAGCCAGCGGCGCATCACCCTCAGTAGGGGGAAACTGGATATCAAGATAGCTACGAGGTGTGGACAACCTAGTGGTGGGTGGTTGTTTGTGGCAGTCATTCACCCTGCGACTATCAATCACCATTCTTATCCATGCAGGGTCTTTCTTCTTGACAAAAAACAGCCCGATGCGTTCTTTTATTGCTCTGCGGAAAGTCACAAGTCCCTGCTTTGCCAACCCAGCGATCAAGCCGACCAAAGACTGATCATCTTTTCGCAACACCGGATCCCAATATGGCTTAATGCGAGACGTGTCACGCTGGCTCATGTCATGGGCACTTCGCTCAATCATGGTTTGGTATCGCTCCAAGACTGCCTTGGCATGGTCTGGCAACATCTCCTGCAAACGTCTGGGCCGCAACTTACTATGGAGTACTTTCAGTTTGGCCGGGTCAAAGGAGGCAAGGTTCTTCGGCTCCTCATCATAAAGGCTTTTCCCATCCAACATGCTGGCCAGTGCAGTTGGCCCATCTAGGCCTACAGGGGGTTCGCCGCTGTCCCTCAAGCATTCGACGATTCTGTCCCTGACTGCAACTTGGGTAGTGTCGGGCAGGACACCATGGAGAATCTTATCAAAATTTGAATTCGCTCCATGCATGGCGAGGCTGTTCAACGCCCTTGCGGTCCAAGATCCTCGCTGCGGAAAACAAATCCCTTGAGACTCCAGACCAGCTTCAACCCAATCTGGCGCCAAGGGAAAAGGGTCACCATGCGCTCTGTACGACCCCCACATGAAATGGCTTGAAAAATCAATCTGCATGCAGCAAGCCAACTGGAACCACACAGACTCAAAAATATAGGTTTAGGTCTCACCGGCGCAGGTAGTTGCAGCACCGGCGCCTTTCGAGCCTTTACCCTTCTTCTTGGCCTTTCCTCCAGGCCCATCGCCTCCTGCGGGACTGCCCTTATCGCGGCTGCCTCGCCCCATCTCTTCACGATACAGCCTAGCTTGCTTCTGAATTTGGGCTTTGGTTTTCAACTGCTCAGTCAACCAACCATCCAACACCCTGGTGGATGCGGATCCAGACTCAGTCACGGGAGCTTCCATGAGCAACTCAAGCCCTGAGAATTCTGGCGACTGAGGCGACCTACTGACGGCAATTTCAAGCTGGACGATGCGACGAACCAACAATTCAAACGACATCAAATTCACTGGGTTGAGCTGGTCACGACAAATCCCAAGACGAAGAATCTCAACTAAATTCTTGTGCTCATACACTATGGACGTTTTGGGAGCTACGCCTGAGTTTCTGGCCCATTGGAGGTGATAGGTGGTGAGATCATTCCCACCCTCACGCACTGAAGAAAGGAACTCAGCACAAGCCCTTGGCCCTTGGAAACCCCAATCAGCAAAAGTCTCTTGATTCATCAACGGAAAGGCGTCCGCAAATGAAATAAACCTCTTCCCCAAATGATCTTTGTGGTTGCCGATATTCCGGACGTCTCCTAAAGAACCCTTGGCTTTCTCAGGGTATGTGGAAACTTCTGAATGGGAGATCTCTTCAATCCATTCTGTGGTTCCGTCAACCTCGATGAGCCCTTTGCTGCCCAAAATCACTGCATCATCAAGAAGTGCCGTCTCCACGACCTGCCCTAATCGGTCGGAATTTGGATGAGCGTATACCCACGACATGGCCTGCACTTCTTCCAGATCGCCGTCTCCAAGAACAATCGACATGGTCTTAGCCTGACGTTTCAAGTTCTCAAGGTCGCCTCTGGGCACAGGATCGAAAGCATACACGACGTCAGCCAAGTGGTCTGGGAAACGGGACCTTCTACCAAGCACCGTGTGTCTCCTATTGTTCAGGTCTAGGATTTCCAGGTCATAGTCCGGGCTGGCTGCAACCCACCGCCCAGGACCCAACCGACTCAAAAGGATACGATGGTGTTCTGTGAGTCCATTAGCATCACCCGGGAAATTGAGCAGAATCTGTGGTTCGGAAATGTCTAGCGTCAAGTCAGCCATCAGTTCTACCTACGACCCTTTCCCAAGGCGGAAGGCCTGAGCGGGCCGGGTGGCTTCACAGCTCGTCTGACTAGCCGTTTCTCTGGCTCTGACTCGGATGACTCTGAATCAAAAACAACTGATGCCGGAGTTCTCCCTTGCAAGCGGGATGGTTTATACCAAGACCACCACAGGATGAGTGTCAGCACTGTCAAAATCACAGTAAAAATCTGGGAACTTCTGACGTATAGCTTGTCACTGGAATTTGCACGTTTGAGGATGGTGTTGTACCCTTCCAGGAGTTGTTGAGCCCTGTGCAGTTCAGCTTGCAAAACTCTGACTTCTTCCACCAATTCGCTGTATAACTTCAAAGATGGATCTCCAGTTGTAAAGGTTCTCACCACGTGAGTAAGTATCCAAGCAAAATGAACAACGAATTCCCGCATGAACTTTGAGGCTAAAAAACGGCTTGAGCCAAGAAGATTTAATGGGGCTTTGCTGTTCATGTTGCTTTGCAAACCACGCAAGCTTCCACTATATGTATTTATATATATATATACATACTACATGAATATATTATATGATTGTGAATCTATATATTTTATACGTATGGTACCATATGGTAACCGAAAAAAAGATGTGGTAACGTGGTGTCATGTACCGCTGGCCTGTTCGGTCTCCCCCAAGCGCTTCGACAAGGCGTCCAGCTCCTTCTGCACCTGTTCTCCCAAAACCCCATAGTGCACCCGCTTAGTAGGGAATGGATGGGAATGGGGGAATGGGATGATTATTACTAGTGATCATGGATCATTCTCTCATTCCCTACTAAGCACCAGTAAGAAAACGCCGAAAAAGAAACCAAAGACCACTGGAGAATTAAAATGATTAAAGCATGAATTATTTCACCAGACTCCTAAAACACAAGTTTATCACAAATCACCGCTGTTGAAACCAAAAGCTCCACTGTTCCAACTTCCCCGGCCTGGGCTGGATTTTGATCCCGCAGGTCCTGATGAAGTTGGAGCCTCCAAGGGACTTGCTGCAGGGGTCATTTTGAACCAAAAGAGTGCTCCAGAGTTCAGAGGAATGCCAGTAGATATAGATATAGATGTAGATACAGATATGCATATAGATATGGATATAGAAACTGGTATCGGTATAGATGTAGATATTGGTATAGATGTGGATATGGATATAGAATTTTGAGCAATATATGATTCCTGGGAAGTGTCAAGCTCATCATAATCAAAATCATCAGTTGGGTTGATCATCAATGAAATACTTCATCCTATTCATCCAACAACTGATGTTCTTGTTGGTCAAGCCAGCCACTAGCCACTCATCAGGCTCTCAGCACCAGACTTAGCTGCTTCTAACTTCCAGCAGTGCAAATTTGATCTTCTTATCATATCATCATCCGCAACAGGCAAATACTAGGGGAAAAAAATTAAAAAAAATGTTATAGTGCTGTGACAATGATATGCCTTCCACAGCACAATCTATCTGGAAACATACAGTACCCCGTGGTAAACAAACATAGCTATGGAACTCACCATGTTTTAGTCCTAAACCATCGAACTAAATGGGCCATCGAAGATCATAGCTATGTTAATTTACGAAAAAAAAATATGTTGTAATGTGGGTAAAACAATTATAAACCATCCCCCCAAATCATCATAAATAGTATAAACCATTCCCAAAAGGGTGGTAAACATGGCATTGGTTTAACCGCATGCATGGCTTCCGCCTCTTCTCCAGCAAGTCCCGTCGTTGGCGGATCAGGGGCTGGAGACGGGGCTTCCTCCATGAAGCCAAGCATTGACCTCGCTTGGAATCCCTGGTCCTCCCAGTGATCCATGGAAAATCGTCATCGGAAACCATAGATTTTCCCATGAAATATGGGACTTTACTGTCAGAAAACTGGGTGCCAAAAATCCAGTGGGTTATTATCATTTTCCTCATTGAATTCGAAACTGTTTGGTATCAGTATACTGCAGTTTCAATGATTTTCAGACATACCCAAATCCCATTCATCCCATGATATAGCCATTCCCGGATTCCCCATCATATCCCTGATGTGGTTGGTTGCTAATCCCCCTTTGTCAAAACCACCGCCCGGCAACTTTTTCAAGGCCCTCCCCTCACGCTGGGCCGTCGTTGGGCCAGCCCACCCAATTCCGCCACCACCGCATGTGTAAGGCCGCCATCCAGAACCTTGCTTTGGAGAAAAACATATGTATAAGGGATAAAATCAGTGAAAAGTATTAAATTAATATTGGACTAATAAAGTTTATACATCAATATTGGACAAACAAAATTTCGTCATGACAAATCGGGTGACTTTACAATACTTTACACGTGAAATTCTGTGAGATTACCCAGAAATTGTTGAGTTGCGAAATGTTTACATGTTGTTTTGTCTTTGTTTTTTGGATGTGACAATCCAAATATGGAGGTTGAACCAACAAATGGGCACTTGACATGCTTTGACCAGCAAAAATGCTGGATACAATCAGCAAACAATTTGAAGTGGTTGTTCGAATATGATCCGTCCATAATCCCATCCTCCAATAGTGAGCACGCCCCAAATGGGTCCCAAGATGTGTAAATCCTCTACTAAACTTACTACACCATCGTTTCTAGGAGGGTTTGAAATATTGGAAGGGATTAACGACCACCCAAGGTGCTGGGGAAATTGCCTGGTGAAATCCCGACGCACCATCATAATCATCCCGTCGGGTGGGTATTTGAACGTGGCGGCGTTGTGTTTTTTTCATTTTTGTGGATCCTTTATCGTTTGGCGTTTTGCAATGGATTTCATGTGTTTTGGTCAATTTGCGTCTCAATTCCATTGGTTTTACGGTTTTTCTGCGCGCTGGCAATCAAATATGGACATTTTATTCCCGGAAAAAGTATTCCTGTTTTGGTGGGTCATTTCACAAAGTGACAGTGGGGCCATGGTTTTGGCATGTGAAAGCGGCTACGGCTATTTATTCTGCGCAAGATGTTAGAGAAGTTAACAACGTAGTTGAAAGTTTGGATGCTAAAGACGTTAATACCCCCACCCCGTGCAAGATGCTAGAGAAGTAAAAATAGTGCCAACTATACCTTCGGTTGTCCACCCGTAGGCATAATCATCATCCCCCTCCCCAAGTGTTCCCTGCAGTTCTTTTCTTCACCGGGAGTTGGTGGAGTCTGGTTGGTAGCTACACTGAATTCTCCTGACTCGGACTCCATCAAAGTCGACTGGGCAGTGGAAGTCCTTCTGGATCCACCACGGAAAAAGTCTCGGAAGTTCAGAGATTGATGGGTTTTGTTTAGGATACCCCAAGTGAAAAGGCCACTTAAATGGGAACAAAAATGATGAAACCAGATTTGGGGGTAACCTATTCTCAGACAAAACCCAGATGGGTGTGGATCAAAACATATGTCAATGTATCTCAATCCCGTGTGTGTTCTCATTAAAACAGCAGCTGATCAATGGTTTTTTCATCCCACCATTTGGAAGAAATCGTGTTCTTGATCCATCCCCAGATCTTGCTCCACTCTCGCTTCGCCAACCAATCAGTTCTCGGGCGCAACAGAGGGATAGAAGATGCGAAATCAAAAAAGGATGAAGGAGAACATGTCAGTACCATTTTCAGGGACTGTCATGATTATGGACTTACAAATCTATGATGAAATCGAATCCTGACTTCATCACACAGTTCTTTGTCCATGGAGTCGATGGTACGATGTTTCAGCACGGTTTGATTGTCGGGATTCGGCCCCTCAACAAGTCTAGAAAGGGAAGCAGTTTGTCAGTTTGGTCACTTTACAGGCTGGATGATTAGGGTACAGGACATTGACGCACCATATTCATCAATGTACAAGGAAGGCCACCACCAATGGATTCAGCCTTCGCAAGGTACCCAGGGACCCTGCCAAACCAACTAGGTCCGGTCAAGGCACAAGCTCTTCGGCATGGCTAAAAAAATCATTGTCCATGCTTGGAAGAGGATAGTTGGTGAGATTCCCATGATGGTCTCAGGTTCCAGCGCAAGTTTCCATCATGGCCTGGTTTTGGCCTCATGGCTTTGCGCATAAGAAACTACCCGCGGTCGACCGCAGTTGTCGACTAGCAGCGGTTGAAAAGTCATCCCTACACACCACGGTGAAGCCGTTTGGATCCAGTCAGATCAAAACCTGGGGGGAACAGTCAGGTACCCTCTGGTAAACTAACATAATTGTGGAAAATCACCATGCTACTAATGGGTAAATCCACATAAATCCACTATGAATGGCCATTTTCAAGTTCGCAAACTGTTAAATATCACAATCAGGTACTTTGAAAGGTCAATTTTCATTGGAGGTCTCGGACTTTGGGCAACAGGTTGCGGTGATTGCCTCCTGCCGTCCCGAATAAGATCTAATGAATGGTTCATTGCTATACTCCGCAGGTCTTGTCATCATGATTTTTTCAGCACTGCGACATCCTTTGCATCCAGAGCAACCTTTGCAGATTTGCATTTTCCACCTTACTGTAGGTGTCCAATTCACAACCAAAAATTTACCTCAACCAAGATCTAAACCGAAATTCATGTGAACCCCCAACGCCGGATCCAGGCTCAAAGATAAATCGAATCCTGACTTCATCACACAGTTCTTTGTCCATGGAGTCGATACGATGTTTCAGCACGGTTTGATTGTCGGGATTCGGCCCCTCAACAAGTCTAGAAAGGGAAGCAGGTTGTCAGCTTGGGCACTGTACAGGCTGGCCTTCGCAAGGTACCCAGGGACCCTGCCAAACCAACTAGGTCCGGTCAACGCACAAGCTCTTCGGCATGGCTGGTTAAACCATTGTCCATGGTTGGAAGAGGATTCCAACGGCAAATTGATATGTTTGAAACAAGCAACCAGCTGATGAGAAATCCATCTTTCTTCATAATTTCAAGTCTTAGTTGGTGAGATTCCCATGATGGTCTCAGGATCTGATGGTCAATTCCAGCACAAGTTTCCCTCATGGCCTGGTTTTGGCCTCATGGCTTTGCGCATAAAAAACTACCCGCGGTCGACCGCAGTTGTCGACTAGCAGCGGTTGAAAAGTCATCCCTACACACCACGGTGAAGCCGTTTGGATCCAGTCAGATCAAAACCTGGGGGGAACAGTCAGGTACCCTCTGGTAAACTAACATAATTGTGGAAAATCACCATGCTACTAATGGGTAAATCCACATAAATCCACTATGAATGGCCATTTTCAAGTTCGCAAACTGTTAAATATCACAATCAGGTACTTTGAAAGGTCAATTTTCATTGGAGGTCTCGGACTTTGGGCAACAGGTTGCGGTGATTGCCTCCTGCCGTCCCGAATAAGATCTAATGAATGGTTCATTGCTGTACTCCGCAGGTCTTGTCATCATGATTTTGTTCAGCACTGCGACATCCTTTGCATCCAGAGCAACCTTTGCAGATTTGCATTTTCCACCTTACTGTAGGTGTCCAATTCACAACCAAAAATTTACCTCAACCAAGATCTAAACTGAAATTCATGTGAACCCCCAACGCCGGATCCAGGCTCAAAGATAACATCGAATCCTGACTTCATCACACAGTTCTTTGTCCATGGAGTCGATACGATGTTTCAGCACGGTTTGATTGTCGGGATTCGGCCCCTCAACAAGTCTAGAAAGGGAAGCAGGTTGTCAGCTTGGGCACTGTACAGGCTGGCCTTCGCAAGGTACCCAGGGACCCTGCCAAACCAACTAGGTCCGGTCAACGCACAAGCTCTTCGGCATGGCTGGTTAAACCATTGTCCATGGTTGGAAGAGGATTCCAACGGCAAATTGATATGTTTGAAACAAGCAACCAGTTGATGAGAAATCCATCTTTCTTCATAATTTCAAGTCTTAGTTGGTGAGATTCCCATGATGGTCTGAGGATCTGATGGTCAATTCCAGCACAAGTTTCCCTCATGGCCTGGTTTTGGCCTCATGGCTTTGTGCATAAGAAACTACCCGCGGTCGACCGCAGTTGTCGACTAGCAGCGGTTGAAAAGTCATCCCTACACACCACGGTGAAGCCGTTTGGATCCAGTCAGATCAAAACCTGGGGGGAACAGTCAGGTACCCTCTGGTAAACTAACATAATTGTGGAAAATCACCCTGCTATTAATGGGTAAATCCACATAAATCCACTATGAACGGCCATTTTCAAGTTCGCAAACTGTTAAATATCACAATCAGGTACTTTGAAAGGTCAATTTTCATTGGAGGTCTCGGACTTTGGGCAACAGGTTGCGGTGATTGCCTCCTGCCGTCCCGAATAAGATCTAATGAATGGTTCATTGCTGTACTCCGCAGGTCTTGTCATCATGATTTTTTCAGCACTGCGACATCCTTTGCATCCAGAGCAACCTTTGCAGCTTTGCATTTTCCACCTTACTGTAGGTGTCCAATTCACAACCAAAAATTTACCTCAACCAAGATCTAAACCGAAATTCATGTGAACCCCCAACGCCGGATCCAGGCTCGAAGATAAAATCGAATCCTGACTTCATCACACAGTTCTTTGTCCATGGAGTCGATACGATGTTTCAGCACGGTTTGATTGTCGGGATTCGGCCCCTCAACAAGTCTAGAAAGGGAAGCAGCCTGTCAGCTTGGGCACTGTACGGACCCTGCCGAACCAACTAGGTCCGGTCAACGCACAAGCTCTTCGGCATGGCTGGTTAAACCATTGTCCATGGTTGGAAGAGGATTCCAACGGCAAATTGATATGTTTGAAACAAGCAACCAGTTGATGAGAAATCCATCTTTCTTCATAATTTCAAGTCTTAGTTGGTGAGATTCCCATGATGGTCTGAGGATCTGATGGTCAATTCCAGCACAAGTTTCCCTCATGGCCTGGTTTCGGCCTCATGGCTTTGCGCATAAAAAACTACCCGCGGTCGACCGCAGTTGTCGACTAGCAGCGGTTGAGAAGTCACCCCTACACACCACGGTGAAGCCGTTTGGATCCAGTCAGATCAAAACCTGGGGGGAACAGTCAGGTACCCTCTGGTAAACTAACATAATTGTGGAAAATCACCATGCTATTAATGGGTAAATCCACATAAATCCACTATGAATGGCCATTTTCAAGTTTGCAAACTGTTAAATATCACAATCAGGTACTTTGAAAGGTCAATTTTCATTGGAGGTCTCGGACTTTGGGCAACAGGTTGCGGTGATTGC